CACCCCACCCACTGAAAATAATAATAATATCGCTTCGTCTGATGTCATGGTGTCCGTCAAACTACTCTCCTCGACATTGTCGCCGCGCCGGCTCTCTGATAATAGCGACATAGCACCACCACCTCATGGGCCCACCCGTGCACCGCACCGCACCCAGCTCCCCTTGAGGACTATCTTAACCCCTAGGCGCTCGCTGTGGCTGCCTCGGCACGGAGATTAGACCAGAGCCTAGATGGCCTTTTTACGTAGTAAGCTCATTTATGGTGTATAAAATATGTCTTGCCGGTTTAGGTGACGATTTTGCGTTGGTGCTAGAAGAAGTATTAAAAAGAAATTATCTAGGGCTAGTGGTGTAGGCTCTGTGGGTGTCGTCAGTTTGAGTGTCTCCTTTCTCTCTGTCTCCCCCCCAAGTTGCGAGCCCGCTGTGTCTGCTTTTCTCCCCTCTCTAGCGCCATCATGTAAAAATACAAAAAATTACGTTAAGGAAAAAATAATTATCCTTTCGAAAAAAGCGACATTAATTCATACGACAGTTGTCGCTACAATGCGAAAATGTCACAATATGCACCGTGACTTAAAACCAGATAGAGACAGATAGATACACCCACACAGCTGAGAGACCAGGGCTATCGAACCCTGTGTGTGTTTTCCGTCTTGTCAATTACAAACAACCCTCTCTTTGGTGGGGGCGCCCTCGATTCCCCTCTCCTCTCGATTACATCCATTTGCTTCTCCTCATATCCGAGCCGCGGGTGACGCCACCCACCGCTGCCTCGTGTCCCTTTTCCTCGTGGATTCCCCTCACTATCGTTTGCGGAAACATGACACTTGGTAATGCTAATTAGGTAGTGGAAGTGGTGTTTGGTGTAATTACAGGCGGTCGCCTCAGTGCCTGGCTAGTGTCTCGCTAACGGCGCTCGGGCAGGCAGCGCCGGGAGAGCAGGACATTCCCGGCAGTACCGAAATCCACTGCCCTTGGTGCAGGATGCGGCGAAGTGACTGAAGTGACGCAAAGCCGCTGGCGTGGGGGGTTAGAATTATGAAAAAAAGGAACGTCGTGGCTAGTAGCCGATTTTGGTGCGAAAAAAGAAGAGCGCCGCCAACAACGTCATCCGTCACGTGACTCAGCGGTGGCTAGTAGGATTTGTGATTACAGTGGGGGAGGCCCCTCCACGAGGCGATTACGTCATCGTAGGATAAACAAAGTGTCTAATCACCTCCAGCCAATGAGCAACAGTGGCCCAAACCCCTAAAAATCGACATCCATCAATTACTACCAGTAATTACGTCACCGACACCTGCTGCGGTGCCTAGCCACTTTCTGACGCTACCTCAGAGGTAGGGGGTGCCTTTTGCCGGTGTCGTGAGGGCGACGTCGCCGGCAAGGCGCTAGCGATGTTTCGTCGTTTCCCGACTTTTTTGAGCGGAAACATGGATACTCCTAGCCCAAGTCGGGGGCGATGGGGGCTTAGTTTTTAACGACATCTGTCAACGTTTCGAGCGGGTGTGTCTATGACGTCATAGGCTTTTCTCCGGGTTTGTGGCTGAGGCCACTTTTTTCTAGAAGGTTCCCGTGCGCGCTCTCACCCCCGTCTGTAAATGGCCAGGGCTCGCAACGGAAAAATGGGTGCGACTTTTGTTATCACGGGGATAGAGGCTTCGCGGCGCCCTGGCTAGGCACACAGTGGTGTTAGCACATATCCGGCGCATCTTGTCCGGAAATGTCCCCCCCTCTCATCTAGCGCGGCACCACAGCGCTTTTACCCGCTGAAAGATTATTCATCGCTTTGGCGGTCTAGCCTCGAAAGAGGGGTAAGGCCCCGAAATAGGCTAGTAAGCTCTAAGCCCTCCCCGGGGTATAATTAGCAATATATTTGCTGTGTGACATCATCGGGTGCCGAACGGCGTCTCGACGCGGCTGGCCTGACATCACAGGCCCCACCAACCTGTGACTCTGGATACACTACTGATGATGACGAGGACGAGACTCGGGTGGCGCCGGTGACCTCACCCGGGTGCATAGTGGGACCATTTCCACAAAACCCCCTTTATCCGAGGCCATTTGGGTCAAGGCAGAGGATCACGGAACAATGGACACTTCGAAAAAAGTTATGACATCATCTTGGTATCGCAAAAACGGCTATGGCGACGGCTTGTACTATCGTAATTCGTAGATGATATGTAAATGGTACGTAGGTGTCACCTAGGTGTCACGCAAATGTCACGTAAATGAGACGTCAACTTCGCAGGGTGCGCACCAAACCGTGATCGATGGTTTCCCCCGGGATTTGTGGCCATTTTTTCTGTTTAGTAATGGCGAAAGAGATAATGTACAATGACAGTTATTTGTGGTGGGGTGGACCTCGGTGTCGAGGCCATAACTACCACAAACGGAATCAGGGTTTATCACAAACGGGAGGACGATAAGGCGGTAGTGGGAGCAGTGGTGGTGGCTTGGTCGCGATGGGTGCAAATCCGCACCGCCCCACCCACATTTCCGGACAATGTAGACCAAACTGATAACATAGGAATATCGTCATTACCAGTGACTAGTTTAGTCTAGAGAGTGAGTGTGTATTTGGTTTGTAACGGATATGTTTTCCATGTGTGATACCATGGAATCTGGCTGATAGTAAGCTGTAAATGGTGTATCTGATGATACTTTTCATGAGAAGAAGGCAAATAATGTTTCGTTGAAGTGTATCAGATATTTAGAGTCTCTGAAGTAGTTCATTTGACCATACTGACACCTTTTTCATCCCATATACAAAGAATCAAAGGAGATACTACTACCCCATCCAGCGAATACTAAAACGCACTAAAGTCACAATATTTTACTACCATCCACCTCAAAACAGCTCTAGTTCAATAAACACACAAGTAACCATCACTAGTTATATGATCACCATCGCCACCCACGTGATTCGCCATAGTGTGCTCGCTGTCGCAGGCTCGCTTCGCTGTTCGCTCGCGCTCGCGCTCGCGGGCGCTATTTTCCTTCCCGATCGAGCGCGCGCGCGTCGCCCTACTAGTGTTGGTGCCAGTAATCTCCGTCCCCCGAGCCAGCGTGTCCCCTCCCTAATATCCGTGCTATAACAGCGGTGTATCCGTTTTCCCCTTTCAATTTTTTCCCCCTTTCATTCCCACTTTCGAAATGGACACTTTTGACCTCGAGCGCCGCCACGGCGACCACCTCCACTTCGCCAACATCAAGTTCGGCTGGATCACGCTCGCGGCGCTGGCGGGCTACCTCGCGGTGGCAGCACTTGTCCACACGTTGTACTTGCGTGGCAAGACCCGCTACATCGGTACGTGGCTCTACGGATTGGTTTTGGCGGTGTTATGGCTTATACTAGTTACCGCCGCCCCGGAAGGATACCTGACCCATTTCTCCGTGGCGCTTAAACGGACGGCGCGGGTCGCCTACGCCATGATCCCGCTCAGCGTGGCGTTGGCGTGGCGGTTGCCCCCGTTGAACTACCTTGGACGGCTTAGAGTGCACAAATGGGCCGGGTGGATCATGACGGCGCTGACGACGTTCCACGGGGTTGGCTTTTTATTTAAGTGGTACGTCGCCGACGAGCTCGGCGCTAAGCTCGCCCAGTGGCGCAACCTCGCCGGCGTCGCCATTCTATTGGTACAATGGGCGTTGGTGGTGGTGCTGGTGTTCAATTTGACCGGCTACACGGCGTGGTACTGGATCCACAACGCCATGGTGCTTGTGTTTACGCTAATCACGATCCTACACGCCCAGCCGGGAGTGGTGTGGCTCGGCATCATCGCCTGTGTCTTCATTGTCATTCAATATGCTACCCACTGGACGGGGGTGTCGGTGGCGGAAGTGCTGGTGTTGGCTCACCCCGGCTCGCTGTTGGTGGTGGCGCGGATCCCCACGCCGAAACCGGTGGCTAACGCCGGCGTCGGCCAGCACATCCGCCTCGCCTCGCGCTGGTACTTGCCGCTGCACCCTTACACGGTGGCCCATAGCGATGCTAGTGCGATTGAGCTTGTCGTCAGCCGTACCAAGTTTGATGTCACCCACGCGGTGACAATGAGAGGCGCCTACCGCCTGGAATTCCCTCAGTTAGTCGGTGCCAGTGCCGTCACCGTGTGCTGCGGCGGGCTGGGCCTTTCGATGGCGTTGTCGGTGCTTGCGTACTTCCCCGAGGCGAGAGTTATTTGGTGCGTTAAGCTGGTAAGCGACCTCCACGTACTTGCCAAAGTGACGCTGCCCCCTCCTAAAGATCAGCTTGCCGTCTATATCACGCAAAAGGGCACCGCTGCCGGCGGGCTGCCCCCTGCGGCTTCCGCCACTCCCGGCACTCCCGGCACTCCCGACGGCGGTGCTGACGACGACGAACTGGCGGCGCTCATGATGGACGACCTCGACGACGGGCCCATTTACATCGAAAAGTCGGCGCTTAACTACGGTAGGCCGCAGTGGTCGCAGTTGTTAACCCCGGAAACGGCGCTGGTGGTCGTGGGGTGTGGTCCCGCCTCCCTCGTCGACGATGTCGGCGACGTACTGCGCCACCAGGGGCTCCAGTTCGTGGCCGAGCCCTACCAGATGTAGGCGCTGCGGACCACTAGCCCCAATTCCACGTCACTAGCCACCGACACCATGCTGGCCACCGACACCATGCTGGCCACCGACACCATCGTCCGCCTCGTGGGAGGCAGGCAGGCCTGGAGGCCTCGACTCCCACCAGCGTGCTGTATGTCTCGCCTCGGCGCTGCACTCCGAGGTCGGCGCTGCACTCCGAGCTTAAGCCAGGGCGGTCCATGTTTTGTGGAGGGGGCACTTTATTGTCTGTTTCTGTCTCTCTTTCTTCCGTCGCGAGGGCGACCGGGGAGACCCGGTGACGGCTGTCCAATAATATGTTGAATTAGTACACTGTAGCCTACAATCAGACACGTTCTCTGCCGTGTTTATTATCGGGTTTATTTGTCGCCGACACCGACACCGACACCGACAGTCATTTGTCGGACAATTTCCTGCACAGAACCTAAAACCCAATACCGCGGAGTTCCGTTATGTTTTTAGCTGTTGCGCGCGCAATTATAAACGGGGGGAAACTGCGCGGGAAATACGCAGGGAGGGGCGCGCCCTTCCCTCTGGGGCAGTCTCAGACAGCAACCCATCCCTTTGGCGATATCGCCGTCAGCGCCACTGCAGCCTTGCCGAGGCGCCGGCGGCGCCTGGGGCTGGGGGCGCCGAACAAAATCGCGGAATTCCGCCGGGCTTGGCTAAAGGGGTGGTCGAACAAAGTATTGTGTGCCGAAAGGAGGAGAGACAGGCAGGTGGCGTTCGAGGGCTTAGTCGGGCCAAGCTTTTCCGGTCGTGTTGTCGTCCCCCGAGACTAATCTGGAATTTCACTACCGTTTGTGGGAGGGGATATCTCGTGAGGTGAGAACACCATTGGAGAGGGTAGACCGATACTGACGAGGGTGTAAGAACTGAGCACATTAAAGGTAGTGGCTTTAACGATAGTGTAGTCTCTGATGATGTTGACTTTCAAGTCAGTTAGTTGATACTTTTTGCTATGGCTGATGCTCTAGCTATGTAGTATATGGTATACCCACTACCTGGATACATACAGGAGTTATACTTTCACAAAGTGATGTAAAAATAAAAAATCTTGTATAGCAGAAATAAAGATTGAATTTCGTAACCGAGATATTGAGGTTTAGTCGAAATGTATGGCTGTGTGCTCACTCTTGGCCACTCGTGGCGGTGTGAGCCGCACGGACATCACCAGTTCGCGCGCGCGCGGTGGCGCCCATCGCGGCGCGCGCGTTGCTCTGTTAACACCACCACGAGATGTCGGTGGAGGCACCCGGACCGCCACCGAGCACCCCGCCAGTGGACGCGCGCCAACCCTCGCAGTTCACCTATAACCACCTATACCAGCTCCGCACCCCGCTGGCTTACCTACTGCCCCTCGCCGTCGTCGGCTTTATCGACCAGAACGCGTTCTTCGCCCAGGTCGAACAGCACCGTCTCGGCAAGGCGCGCCGCGACCCCGTGGTGTGCGCCCAGTGGGATAGTCTTATTGCCGTGCTGTATGCGGCTCGCGAGTACGGGATCTCGCGGATGGACCTGGTGGCGCTGGGCAAGGAGAAGTGCCCCGAGCTTGTGGTGGGGCACGCCGCCGTGTACACCAAAGGGTCGCTGCACTGGCGCTACCCGCCCGAGGGCGAGGCGCCGGATCGATTCGCCTGTAAAGTGCTGCTTGACCCTTATCGCCGAGAGCTGAGGAAGATATTGGCCTGCTTAGCCGGTGAGTGTCCCGTCGTCCAGAAGGCGTCGGTGGATGAACTGTACATGGATATGGGTCCATTGATCATTAAGGAGCTTGAGAAACTTGATTGGATCGATTGGAATAAGCCTGGCGACGAAACACTCCCTTCTATTGAAACTATACCTCAAACCGAACTACCTCATTTTGTCGGCGAAGTCGTCGAACAACCCACGCTAGAAGATTGGGATGACATCGTCATGGCTATCGGGTCGCGATTGGTGTATAAATTGCGTCAGAAGATCGAGAATGACCTACAATACTTGACCAGTGGCGGCGTCGCCCGGACGAAGCTGGTAGCCAAATTGGCTGGTGGGTTCCATAAGCCCGATAACCAGACGGTGGTGCCCAATAAGGCGCTCCCGACGTTCTTGGCCAAGTTCAAGTATACCGATATTGGCGGCCAGGGAGGCCAGGAGGGCCAGCACACGTTACAACTACTAGGGGTGCCGCCGGACGAGACCGACCAGATGGGGTATATACGGTCGCACTACGACTTGCGCCGGTTGCAAGCGGTGATGGGCGCGAGCGCCGGCGCCGTCGTCCACGCGCGGGTGCGCGGCGCCCACCACGAGCCAATCAAGCACCAGACGGCGGTGAAACAGATGATCAGCCGCAAAAACCTCAACGGCAAGGCGCTGATCCGCACCATGGGCGACGCCGCCGACTGGCTCGAGGTGTTTGTCGGCGATCTCGTCAACCGCATTCACGAGCTCGACGACGAGCATTTAGGTAGTGGCGCCTGCTGGCGCCCTAAGACAATGCTGATCCACTTGAATCTCCCGCTGCCGCTGCCGATGATCCAGCGCCAGACGAAACTTCCGGTTACCCTAGACCTCGAGCGCCTTCGCGCCCAACTAAGCGCCGTCGGCACCCGCCTATTACAGACGATCTTCGCCGACGCCTTCGACCTTCTGCGGCTCAACGGCGGGCGCCTGGTGCGCCAGCTCTGGACCCAGCCCGGTGGGTGGCGCTCGGTGCGCACGGGCCAGGTGATCGGCATGGGCTGCGGCACCTCCAATTTCGTCGAGACCAGCGCTACTCTGGTCATAGACAACTTTGTGCTGGCGCCGAAGGCGGTGAAGCGGGCGGCGTCGCCACAATTTTCCGAGTCGGAGGCCTCGGCGCCGGCGCTGCTGCTGCTGCTGGGCCCCTCACCGGGTGCACTTAAGGCGCCGCCGGCGGCGCCCCAGCGAGCGCGCGCAGCGCATCGAGGCGACTCGGATCGGCCGGCACCGTCGCCTCGGGCGCCTCGGGCGCCCCGCTACAAACGCCGGAAACCTCACGACATTCGCCACCACTTTAGTGGCGCTTCCAGCGGTCAGTGGCGCCAGGTGCTCCAGGAGACCGGCTACTGTGAGCGCTGCCAGCGTCCCGCCGACGCCGCCGATCACTTGGACTGGCACGTTGCCGTCGATCTTCAGGAGCGCCTCAACGGCGGTGGCGCCTAAGCGTCTGTCTGGCGCCGAGCGCTATCGCGCAAAAATTTGACCATCAGCTGATTTCTCGGGTATGTGTGGTGGGGGCGCTCGAGGCGAGACATACGTTTAGTCAGCGTATTCGCTAATTTGTGCCCACTTTCCGCTTTAGGCAGTTACACTAGCCACGAGTCGCCCCCCGAGGCCGCATCGGCCTTTTCCAATTACATCATCGATGATGCACCGTGGCTAGTGAGGCCACAAAGGCATGGTGCAACCAGCTGCAGGTGTCATTACTCTGCAGATGTGGCGTCGGGAGACATCACCTCCAATTCGCCCGCCTGCCTTGTTTTGCAGCCCCCTAGCCCTGTGCAGCTTTTAATAGATAATTGCACTCCTCCACTGTCCCATGTACCATCACGTCACTAGCCTCCGTATAATCCCGTATATCCCCTAATTCTCAGAAGGGTATGACGTAGATCCCTATCAAAGGATAGGAATGGAAAGGGGTTGGTGGCGAAGACCCTGCCTCGCCCAGCAATCTCCCAACAGACTTAGCTTATACTGCAAATCACGTACATAAGGGCCTACTTTAAAAAGGATACAAAAGACATGAGCTAATTGGGGTGATGTCCGTCTAATCCCCATTCGACAAAGTGATCACAAATACCGCTGGGTGTGGGCTGCACCCGAGGCTTTAGCCACAATCTTAACTGGCTTAATTTTTTTAAGAAAAAAATTCGCGCACAGCGGGTCTAGCCCCAACCCGGGCGCCAGGGGTCCCCCAGTAACCCAATACCGCCAATTTCGCATTATTGGGGGTTTTGGGCACAGGTTTGTCGCACCCTCAAATTCAACTGTCGCCCCTACTGTCGGACCCTCATGCTTCCGTTGTCGCATGGATGTCGGAACAAAGAGTTACGCTTGTCGTCATTGCGGTTCGCAGTGTCGGAAATTCCCGGGGTGATTGTTGGATGCGTGTCAATAATTATTCAAACGTTGTCGCATTCACATGCGGTTTTTTCAAGATTAGTGACGGACGTGGTGTCGCTAGATCTACATGTTTAGCCTTCGCCAGAGCGACGAAAGTTCCCGAAATTCCCACAACAGGTCCGACAACGGAATTCCGACGACAGGTCCGACAGCGATTCTCGAAATTTCGACAATTTCTCACGGCAAGTGCGAAATTGCGTCCGACACGAACTGCGACTACGTACAAGCCAAGCGTCACCACTGCCTATTTTCCCGACTCCCGATGCGCAATTCGAACTCTGTAGTCCGACATCTGGTCCGACACTGTAGTCGCACAAGCCACCGATTTATCGAAACTGGCGGTATCTGTCAACGACAGGGAGTGCGTGCATCAGACCATTCCTCACCTCCATGAACGGATGCCGATGCAATGTAGACGCATGCTGGGTGCCGTAAACGGTCCCAGCCCCAAAGAGTGGAGGCAGCAGACGGGCGAGTCGTGCCGTGGCTAAGCACTTACTTGCCGCCACCACCCTGAAGTGGCTAGTGATGTCACCGTGCTCAGCACTAAAATTCCATCACCTTCCACGCAAAGAGGCTCGCCATGGCGAATAACCACTAGCGAGCAACCATCCTGAGGCGGCTCCGTATCCCCTGTCCCCCACACTACGTCCCATTTATCCCCCAACTGACACGCCCTAGCCCTTTACAATGTAACCAGCATTTTACTAATCAAGAAATGGATTACATATCCTCCCCCACGTTTCATTGGGTAAAAACTAATGATATCATTATCGTTTTGCAAAATTGCGCTGGCGTGGCTGGATCTCTCTTATTAGCCTCAGTGGATTCTAGGGGCCACGGGCTGCCTAACCGCGCGATGGCTAGTACCATGGCTAGTACTATGGCTAGTGACATAGACTGGTAACTTTGTACAAGAACCAGCCACAGCCTGGAAGGTTCGAGTGGTGTCTGCTACACTATGTGGGTTACCCGCCTTGCGGAGTGCGAACAATAGCGACGTGAACCCGTAACGGCGATTCTGTCGATTTGACAGGTTGACACCCGCTTAATTGCTGGTGCGTCAGATTTTTCGTATTTGCGCCCCAAAAGGCAGAAATCGGGGTGGGCTATACACGTACTTTTGCGGCATTTGCCCCACGTCGAAAAACGTAATGGAAACGTAATCGGCGTGGAACGATCGCCGGGTGGGGGAGCCTCACCGATTCGGGTGATAACGTCAGTGGCTGAGAGCCCCCACCCGTGCCACATTGTGGCCAAAAATTAACCTCACAGCGCCGCCGCCAGGCGACTTTTCGTGACCTCTCACCTCCACAAATTATTCACTAGCCACCACCCTCCTGAGTGGTTAGAAGGGCGCCATTACCACCCAAAATGACCCCGTTTTCAGTACCCCAAAGAAACAGCTACTCTCATGGGCACCAAACCACGTGTGGCTGAGAGACCTGGAACGGCGCCGTCCCCAATCAATGACGTCAAACGACAAATACAAAAAAACCGCAACAGGCGCAAAAGCCACTCGGGAATCGCCGGATGCACCAGGAACGAAATCGATTTGTGGCTTAGTCAGGCGGGACCAAATGGCTCATCATCTGCCATGCCATGCGGGATCAACTCATCGACGACGTCGTGGGCGAGGCGACAACTAATCAGCCATGTCGTGGGCGAGGCGCAAGATGCGCTCGCGGTACGCCGCCTGGTCCTGCCGGTTCCGCTGGACCAACTCGGCAAACTTGTTATCCACGGGCATGCTCTTCAACTGGTGCACCTGGGTCAGCTTGCCCCGGCGCGACATCAACTTGAAGTTGGCGCCACCGCTCTCCACCGGCACCTCGAGCTGCACTTTGCGCCCCTGGCCCCGCTTGCCCGCGTCCGCCAGCGCGTGGACCATGCGCGCGATCTCGCGGTCGATCTCCGCCGCCATCCGCTTGTCCCAGTGGCTGTCCTCGTCGTCGTCGGCGTCCAGCGCCTGGCCCAGCAGGTCGTCGTCGTCGTCGTCGTCATCGTCGTCGTCCAAGTCATCCTCTAAGTCTTCGTCTTCTTCGTCGTCGAGATCGTCGTCGTCTTCGTCCTCTAAGTCGTCCTCTAGGTCTTCATCCTCGTCCTCGTCGTCGTCCAAATCATCGGCGGGGGCGACTTCTTGGTTGCCCCACGCTTCCTCGACTTCGTCGGCATCGTTCTGGAGCGACCCTTGTTCGGCAACAATCATCTGGAGGGCTCTAGCGGCTTCTCCAAGCAGTTGGAGCGGCTGGTAGTCGACAACCTCGCCGTACATCGCCAAGAGCTCGTCGACCTTGAACCGCGTCTCCACCGGCAACTGCGCCTTGCAGAAGATGTAGTACTGCGTGAACACTAACAACGTGGTCACCAGCTGCTTCGCCGAGCTCTTCCACAACAGGAGCGGCGCCCGGAGTGCTAGGAGCACCGTGCACACCAACAGCACCCGGAAGTAGTTATCGGGCATGTCTAGCGCCACATCCGCCTGAGGCAATGGCTGGTTATTGGGGTGGCCTAAAGTGATGATCTTGTAGCACACCAGCACGATAACCTTCAAGCTGATCAACTGGTGGTTAAAGCACTCGGCTAAGAACTTAGCCTGAGCCATACGCACCCGATTGAGTCGGTAGTCGTTAAGCTCAAGCCCTCGTTTAATCAGTTCGATCACCTGGTCAATCACTTTCACCAATAACGGCCGCTGGCGGGCAACGACGTACTTAAAGATACGAGCAAGGAGACCTAAAGCGTCGTAGTTCACTAACTCAGGGTGGGAGAACAGGTAGAGGAATACCGGTTGGATCTCGGGGTCGAATACCACGTCGGTACTTTTGAAAATTGAAAGAATCACCGGCATGTTATCTTGACACAATTGCGAGCCCAAAAGCCTCAGGACAAAGAGTTGCTTCGGCAGCCACTGAGGCCCTTCCTGGCGTTGCAGAGGTTTCACTCCGCGTACGGGTTCGACAATTTGTACCAAAGATCTCACTGCCATCTTCTTATTCACTGAGAGTGACGATTTCCGCTGGCAATCTTTAAGCAACTCCACCATGCGTTTCATTTCCTCCTCGTACTCAGGGTCGTAGTACAAGAAGCGGCCGCAGTTCTCGTAGATCATCACCAACAAGTCCAAATTAGCCCCGGCATCGATGTGGAGAGTTAACGTACGGATCTTATGAAAGATGATGTGCATCGGCACCAAATGGAATTTGACCAACTCAAGGAACAAATACATGTGTTCGAGCTTGACGTGGTGGCGGAACTCGCTGTCCAACTGGCTCACGAGGTCGTCTATCACCGCTTTCGCCTCGACTTTGGCAATGGCCAACATCCGCGACCACTTGCTGAAAAACTCCGGCAGCGCCGTCAGCTTTAGGTCGAGCATGCGTTTGACGATCTTCTGGTGGGTGGCTTTATTGTTGAACCCTCCTTTAGCCAATGAAAGCGCTAATTGCTCTTCAGGAGCCAGGGCCCGTTCAAACTTGGTCACCCACGTGTACACGTCCAATACCTCAATATCCAGCAGCTCCAACAGTTCGAGCGTGGGGATCTCGGTATAGAACGCACGCTGAGCAGCGCTCTCAAACACGAGCTCCTCGTCAAGCTTGGTTTTCACCACTTCCACTTGAGGCGCTTGAGTATCGACGGCGTCTCCTGCCGCCATTTCAAGCGGGCCGGGCTGGTCGAAATTCATCACCGTAGCCACGGCTTCGGCGGCGGCGTGGAACTTGGCCAATTGCTGCTGCGCTGCCTCCAAAGGCTCGGTGTGTTCGGGTAAAAACCGCCCCACTCTCACCGCGGCTTTGCGGTTATTAGCGTCCAAAACCGCCACCTGCTTCTGGAGCCCCTTCACTTGTTTGAGGACGGCTTCGTGGTACACTTCCACCACTTGTAATACTCCGTCTAGGCCCTCAAAAGCGGGTCCGTAGCGTTTAACCACTCTCTGCACCACCGGCAACATATCGCCCAGCAGAAACCGTTGCAGCAACAAGTCCTTCAATACCACCACCACCATCGGCTGTTTCTCAAGTTTCGAGTAGCGTTTGGCGTAGTCGGAAGGTAAACTGGCGCGGTCGGTCATGGCCAAGTTTTCGAATAACCCCACGCGCTGAAGCTCGGCCACGAGCTCGACCACTACTGCCAGTTGTTTAGCGGTGATTTCCGGGTCCTTTAACAACGCCAAGATGCCCAGATTGATGCTGGGGGTGACCAAAATGCCAAATCTTTCGTGTAGGGCCAGCGCCACCTCGACGGCGGCATAGATGTCGTCACGCTTCGAGAGCTTGCTCATCCCCTCAATTAGCAGCGTAGAAAGCTCCAGCAAGTACTTAGAAAGCAGGACCGCCGCGAGCTCGGCGAGAATCGCCTCTTTGGTGTCGGCCAGCACCATGCGGAGCCGCTTGATGAAGGCGGTGTTGCGCTTCAACAGCAGGTCGAGCTTGCCCAGCAGTGTCGGCTCGTCGACGAGCCACCCCGCAGCGTTGGCCTGGCGGAGGGCATCGTAGTCCATGGCTCTAGTCGGTTGGCGGGTTTAACTATGCGGACGCGATACCGATGAGATTTTCGCACTCGGGGTGTCGCTGTTAATTCTCTAGTTTAATGGTACCGCCAGGAGTCGAACAGGGGGCGATCTATATAGTGAGTGTGCGCAACGCGCAATGGAGCGTAGGCAAGCTTAATGCTCACTAGCCACACTTGCCTCACTAGCCGCACGTGCCTCACTCGCCACACGCAATTGGTCTCCCTGCACCGCGGTAGTTTAAAACAAAATGTCGTTTGATTTCACTGGCTTCCTCCACTGCGTATTCTAGCGTTTCCCCCCAGGTCGTACTTCCAAAAATTATGGGTGAAGCCATACATCTTGCCCCCCCCTCCTCAATTGGCTCGAGGTAGTATTAAAGGATTATCTGCAGGAAGCGCATGACCGGGTGTCGGGGGTTCGAAATTTTTGTCAGCTGTAGGTGGGGCTAGCTCCAAGCATGTCAAAAGAATGCGGGCCATCGCTCATAAAACCTCCAGCACGACCACTGACTCACCGGTGGGGGCTAATCCATGTGGCAGTCTCCAGCAATGGCACCGGAAGGCACATGGTTATCTCCGAAGCGGCCAGAGGGTGTCCGAGGCGACGTCCCAAACTACAGGAATGGGTAACAAAATAGGATTGTACGGTGAGTGTCGTGTACCCTGAGAGGGCTTAGCCTGAAGCTTAGCCTCTGTGCTTAAGCGTCTGTTTTGGTTCCCCGTAAAAATGAGGGTGCGTCTAAAAAAAAAAGGGTTTCGCCAGCGCATTTCTCTATTGGGATGTGGTCCGGTACATTTGCAAGGCGTCAAGGCGAGAAAGGAGGGAGAGGGGGGGGTTTCGAATGATGCCTGTGCAAAGCTTAATTTGCCAGGGGTCATCGCCCCGGCACCCACCCATTGTCGGATTTGCGAGTGATCTGCGATTAGCTAATGTATCATCCTAAGCGGCTAAACCCTCTCGTGACCACCCAAATCAAATTGACCCTTTTCTTCTAGCCTCACGATGATATAAGCGCTGACTGTCAACGCATTGAGCGAACAGTGAGAGCACTTTTGACGCTGTGCTGTCAGTGGTACTGCTCCTAGGCGCTACGCTTAGTGGCACTTCGTGGGCCTTGGCGCGGAAAGCACGGTAAGCGTTGTCGCTTGTTCGTTTGTTTTTGCGCCACTTTAATTCTGAAACACCCATCACCCCACTGTCGTTTTCATTACTCTCGGCTCTAAAACCATCATCAGCTGTAAACCAAATTCGCGCCTGCACTATTACGCTATTGTCTGCGTTTGCTGGGAAATGTCGTGAGGAGACTGTTTCTCTTGAGGATCGATGTCCCCAACCACGGTCGGGAATCAGCCTCCCCCACCCGTTGCCACCCGGCTACACTTTCGCCCCAATACTCTAACCTTGTGGGCCTTACCTTAATCGGTCGAGACCGCGGGCGGGGCTGCTGGGTGTGAGAATGGGGTGATCGTGTGATTCGCGCCCAGATCCCAGCGTATCTGGTACAAAGTGGCCTACTACTAGTGGGGGCACAATCACAGGCGCTGGTGCTATTAGCCGATGCTTTTGTTGTTGCCACCGTCGACGTATGTTTCAAAAGTGCGTTCGAGACGCCGACGCTTTTGTTGTTGCCAGGGTCGACGTATGTTTCAAAAGTGCGCTCGAGACGCCGACGCTAAGAACCCCGCGCGCCCCATAAAGGCGCCCCACACTTCACCACTGTCTGAGCGCCTCGCCCTGTCGTAATACCGGGAACCGACTCCTAACGCCTAGACCAGACTGTCGACGGCGCCGGCGCCGATTGCATCGTCGTAACTGTAAGTCCCGATGCGCCCTGGTTCTCTCGACGCTGCTCGTCAGCGGCGTGCGCCGTGGGAGGTGCATGGAGGCGGCGGGTGTCGAGGCTCGCTCAACCCCGGGCCGCACGCCCCGAGTGCCGGTCACAGTTCCCGACAGCATCCAGTGCGCAATGGCGGCGCTCCCCGCGCAGGGTCCTCTGCGATGGTGCGGCAACACCACCACCACCAGTAGACGTCACGCCAAAAGCGCGACACGGCGGTGGCCACCACCCGCCCTACGAGCACCCACCGCCAATCCCTCGGGCCCATGCGAGATATTAAGGTTTTTGTGGCACCGGTGTCGGCGGGTTGCATGGTGTCAGCGAATAAACTGTCTGGAGGGGTTGGGAAACCCTTGGCACTTTTCCCCAAGACAATTGTCCCAGATAATATTGGACAATATAATAGAGTGTTGTGGGCGGTGATTACTCCGTTATGCAGCTTGGGGGGGCTACATTGACAATATTAGGGATACTTCAAAGCTAAAACTAGCACCGGCCACTGGCCGTCGTTACCCAATCCGACTAGTTTAAAAATACCACCCTCGAAAAGGGGTGCGGGTGCGAACCGAGACCACCACCTACGACTCTACTTTACGACCAATGTCGCTAATGGTGGTTGTCTAGCGTTTATTCTTCATCCTCAATTGGCTGACTAATCTTGACCCTCCCTTCATGACCACTTCTCTCTCCCTGTTCACCCCTTGTGTCCCAGGGATCACGGCGGAAATAATATTCGTGATCAAAGTTTAGCGTATTCCTTGTGCGCCCTGTGGCCTCACGTAGAGCGTCACCTGGATCCTTCTCTGCCTGACAATTGGGAGGGGTCACAGGGCCCGTGTAAACTTCCCTTAGTCTCGATTTTCTCCTTGAGCCTTGGGGTTGTTGGGGGCGATTAAGCTTTGTGTGGTGTAATCGGGCTCATGGTTAGGCTACGAGCGGGTCGGAGATACAGGTCCCGGTGTTCTCAACTGAAATTTTCCGAAGACCACCCAGAAATTTAACCGCCTTTCACCCAATTGCGTCACCAGCAATTGCGTCACCAGCGAAACAGCCGGTGTCTCAAGTGTCCCGAATAAGCCTCGTTCACCGTATCTCGGGCTGACACCAGCCATATCGAGAGTGGTACGGTGGCGATCTAGACCTGGTGACGTCACGTACCAGGGCTACTATATCCTATACCTCCCTCCACCCTGCCAAGGCTGTTACGGCATTTGTTTACCTCTCTCCCCCAATCCTTTCACAGGCCAGTGTTTGGCCGCCACAGTACTTTCTCACCACAAAAGGGTTCCCTAAAGCTCACAAAAACTAGGGCATCCTCGTACTTAGCTTTGATGCCCTAACTACCAACTTAAATTCCTATTGCAGTAAAGCCTTGGGTAGACTGCCGCTCTCGCGGCTGCCAATTGCACAAACACAGTCTTTGGAGTCTAGACTGAACGTGGTGGAGGTATTCTCGAAGTACCTCTGAATATCCTCGTCAGATTTCGATCACACCAAGAGTTATGGTTGGAAAAGTTCACCTCAATCAATGTGACACGTTGACGGTCTTTTTCCTTTGAGCGCAAAGAGACTGAGAATAGAGAGGCAATCTCAACACGGGTTTCTGGTACGACGTCTAGTGCTGATTGGCGTTGTATTTGGTGTCCTTTAAATATCGTTGCAGCACGGGTGTAAGTTACCATCGCGCATTTCGCACCCTCCGCCTTTGACCAGATCTCCAACCACCATGTCATCGGCGATAGTGGGACGCCTCCTGCGAGCGCGAGCGCTCAAGCAGTTGGAAAAGGACTACACGTTCCCGTTTGAACGGCTCACCGCCAAACAAGCCGCCGATGCAGTGCCCACACCCCCCAAAGTCGCCCCGCTGAAAAAGCTTAACCACTCCATCGCCCGGCCAGAACACATCGCCGACTTCCACGCCCGCTTTCGTGCCAAGGATCTCCTCACTCTGACGCTTTCCCGTAAGCGTCAAGCTCTTGGTTACCCGTTACGCCACACCGACGGTAAAATCGCCCCGGTGAACTTACACTATGCTAACTTACTCTTCCAGTGGGCCGACGAGTATAATCAACAGGTCGTGGCGTTAACAGCGATTCCTGAGCCCGGTTTACGGCTTAAAGTGCCGCAAGCGATCACTGAACGCCTACAACTGTTTGACGGACCCCAACGGGGAGACCCCTCCGCTTTGGCCGAATGGGTACAGCTATGGCGTCCGCAGCTGGCGACTAACCCAGACCCCGTCCCCTTTGACACCTTTGCCCTTTACTTAGTGGAATCGTGGGCTGATATGCGTGATGTGGTCAAATTCGTGTCGCAGCACTGGACCCATCTCACTTCCACTGGACGCACCAGTTTCGTGCTGAGCTGTCTCCACCGTCTCTTCCAGAACTCCCAAGAAGGGGCTGCTGATCTCTGTGCCATGTTGGCTACCCACACAGTGCGGTGGGACCAGTTGTCGTCGCTGGACCTCGACCAGCTTGCAGCACAGATGTTTGCCCTGGACCAGGTCCCGTTGGGGCTTGATCTCCTCAAAATCATCGTCAATAAGCGTCGCCAGGTCCCCACCCGCGCCACCTGGGAGCGCTGCGTCAAGCTCCATCTCCACGGCAACGGCGACGCCCTCATCCCGTTCAAACTGGTATTCCACCATCGGGCTCCGCTGCCGGTGGAAGTTGAGTTTTTGCTAAACCATGTCCACCACGTGACCCAGCTCGAACTCTTTGTCACTCATAGCGCCACCGAAACGCTAGTGGAGTTCCAAATCCCCATCTTCTCGAAATTGGTCGAGTTACAGCGCGACAACGCTACTGACGCCACGGCAGCGCTGTTGGAATTGACCCAGTTGGTGCGCTACTACCAGAGCCGCAACATCCGCCTCCGGGCACGGGCGTTGGAAGTGTTGGGTGAGGCCTACTTGGCCGTCGGTGACACCGCCAACATTGAGTACTTGAGAGGGATGGCTCGTTAAACCCTTTCCATTTGACTATACCAAAGTCTCATCATTATTGTATATATTATTTAGCTGACTGGGTCAACACCCGGGCAGCGTCGGCAAGCACTTCCTGGGCCTCTCCTCCCGGAGTCACCGCGAGTGCCTGCTTCAACTCGGCATCACCCAAGTTCACGCCGTGGTTGGCGGCGCAATATACCAAGTTCGACACCACGTACGCCACCCGTAGCACCAAATCCGATTCGGAGGTTTCGTTGAGCAAGATATGGCTGATAATCTTGAGCAAAGGAGTCTTTACGGACTCCGTAGTCACAAGCAATTGGGTGATCATATCGTATTCTGACGTGGCATTGGCCAATAAGCCAGCAATCACGCACTGGAGCTTGACGTCTGACGCATCAAGAAGCTTTATAAGCAATTGAAGTCTCTTCTCGTTCTCGGGAAGCTCCAAATTGAAAAATTTGGCGAGCATCGCCGGCTCGGAAATGAGGTTCAGCACAAGCTCCCACGCCGCTCGTTGTAATGGCGGGTGGTCCAGGTCAATAATTAAATGGGTGAGGTAGTCGTCAAACGTACGACTGATGATCAAAACGCGGAGCTGTTTATCAGGCAACAGCGTGAGGTTGGTGAGGGCGAGAATAGCGTCGTACTTGTCGACTTGAGTCACTTTCTCGTATAAATAGCCGTCGTTAGCACCACTAGGCTTGGATTGGAGTTGCCCTTGGTACTGGGAGATATTGGGCCCCAATAACTCTATCAAAAACGGGACACTCAGCTTAGCGTCAATCAGGCCAAACGCCAACGCTGGATTAGTGGAAATCACCATTTTCGCCATTGCTCTAATCGCATTAAGCCTCAGATCAACGTCGGTACCTTCTAAGGGACGCGTATCGAGCTTGAGCTTTTCCACTTTCAGATATTTGCCCAAGTAATTAACCACCACTTTCAAAGCCCCCTGTTTCACCAACTCAGCTCGGACAACACGTTGCTGACTCGGTTCAAACACGTTAGCCACATTATAGATCACGGTAACCACGCGGTCGACGACAGCAGAGGAATCAGGCACTTTGGCAATGGTGGCAATTAACGGGTGTTGGAAGAGAAGAGCGTGGTTAAACCGGTCAACGGCCACTTTGGAGTCCTCACCAGAGTCATCAGGAGCCGCTCCAGGGGTCATCGCCTGTTTGAACCTCAGCTGAGTGGTTTGTTCCCCCACCAGTGTCAAATTGGCAAGTACCACTAATGCCCCATAAGCATCAGTTTTCACCGCATTCAAGATTTTGTCGATGGCCTGTTCATCACGACGAACTAACAGTTTCACCTTCAGGTTAAGCAGCAAGTACGCTAACCCTTCAATTGCCTCCACGCGGTCTAAATTGACCATAAGCTCTTGCGCAAGTTTCTCCACGGGGATATCCTTAGTCTTGATGAAATTCCACAACTTAATCACGCACACTGTAGCCAAGAGTCTCACTGAGTCCACTCGACTCTCCATCGCTTGTTTAAGCGCAGGCACGTACTGTAAGTTGAAGTTACGGCACTCGTCATTAATACACAGCGCCGAGAACAACTCAAGTGTCACAGTGATGAGTAACGTGTCGTGACTATTAGTGGCCAATTTGTCGTCGATATGGCGCTGGCACTTGTGTTTATCGGTGTATATGGGCACCACGATTTCAGGCACTAACGGGAACAATTCCGTCATAACTTGGATAAAATTGAGGTAAGTGACCGTATCCATGTGGTCCTGATCGTACTCCACTTCCAAGTAGTCTTGAATCACTTCCCGAGTCGAATCGGGCGAGTCTTTGAGCAATTTGACCACGATCATCATCACCATCAGATGACACGCTGAATACACCTCCAGATACAACTGGTTAAGTAAAGGAAGCAATTGGTGGAGGTGTACGGCCTCTTTGGGAGCATTGGGCAACATAAGACATTGTAAATAGGTGTGGACAAGGAACTTGTAGGTGGCGCTGTCACTATTGGAAAGCGGGTGTTGGTGGCGTCGGAGCTGGTCTCGGAGCTCGGATAACACGTGGCCAATCACTTCTGGCAGCGCTTTCGAAAGCTCAGCTACCACCGGCTGAATGTCGCCATCGGGTACAAGCGGAGCGAGGACTGCCCACGGATCGCCATTGAGGGTATCAAGCATAGTCGCGAACACACAGAGGGTGGTGTATCAACTGCTGTAGATTAATTCGACAACAAATGCAATGGGTGAAAATTGAGATTTACGGGAGTGGAGTAGGTTTAGTCGGGACGACATTCTATAAGCGTCCTTGTCCTTCTTCTTGTGGAATCTTACGATTCTCGCTTTGAAAGACTAAGTACCTAATGAATCAATTGCTTATTAATGAAGCCATATTTTGATTGCTTCAATGAGTCAAGTAATTTGAATGAGTGGTTTCATTTTGTCATCAAATATCGTCTGATTTTACCGTCCTGATTATCATCCCAGTAGGTCGGGGCCCTGTTTATTTATCGTAAATCGCGCCACCAGTACCATGATCAATTATTACGAGCTCTACACGTAGCTCCTATCAAACTGAACTTTTGCACTTCAGCACTACCATCGATCGTCATCATCTACACTTAATTGAGCTTAAGTGGATGGTTTATTCCAGTAGATTCTAGATTATGGTAAGGGTAATCATCCTGCATATATCGCAGAAAACTCGTCACTCACCAAGGGCTAAACCATGGACACTTCGACCGTGCTAGAGAAGTACACCCAGGACTTGGTCAACCTTCCACTGGAGGTGAAGTTCCTCCTTGATGAGATACGCAACAAGGACACCCAGCTCCAGGAGGTGAGACGCCGATGGCAGGCCCGCGACAACCACCTCCACAAATTCATCAAACAGAACTCGACATTGGCCAAACACCCTAAAGAAGCACAAATAAATCAGAAAATCGAAGAGGATCAGAAACAGGTGACCCAAATACAACAGGAAAAAGTGCTTTTGGCCAACACCGCCCTCTACATTGTGCTGAAACATTTATTCCAATTTGAGGCCGACATCGCTAAGCTCGAAGCCGACGATTTGCTCCCTCCCGAACTGGCAGTGCTCACCGATGACTTTAGAGATAATTATGGCATGAGCGACCTGAATATCAGCGGGCTGGCGACTCCCAGAAACGCGCCTCAAGTACCGGCAGTGGCTCTGGAAGTAAGACGACTGTTGAAGCGTAAAATGGGGGTCAGACCTGGTGGCAGTCGTCTTAAGAGACGCCTACACATGGCTGATGACGATGACGATGATCTGCCAATATCTGCAGGTCTGTTTGCCCTTACCAATGACGAATACGGCGATAATCACGGTCACCTGGGACCAGGGGGTGACGACGCCGATAATAACCTCTACTGTTTCTGCCAGCGTGTTCTGTTCGGTGAGATGATTGGCTGTGACAACGACGACTGTAAGTACGAGTGGTTCCACTGGAGCTGTGTTGGTATCACCAGTCCACCGAAAGATGATGAAGTGTGGTACTGTCCTGACTGTGCACCGAAGATGGAGAAGCGCAAGAAGAAACGCAAGGTGGCGTAAATTTAATCGAAATGTAATGATTTTTATGGATTCAGGGGACGTTTTTTAGGTGTTAGGTGGTTTTGTACGTATTTAATTAGCAATATTTCATTTTATGGGAAATCAGCAAATTGTAGCAAATATAAAATACTTTGATTTTGAAAATTAACTGAAGCATTTCATCGATGCACATATGAAACAAGTTATTCGATTACCTCCACCACTAAGATATCGTTGTTGTTTAGGTAGATTTGCTAGTAGGCTTTGGCGTCATCGAAAGTGGTTCCTGCACACAGTACACCACACTGATCGCTCCATCTATCTTCACCCATCTACCCCATGCTCTCGCGATTGGGTCTCCGAACCGCCACTTTCAGTGGCTTCCACCGGAGTTGCCGCCTATACCTGACATTTGGTTACGTCCAGGATTGGCCTGAGCTCAAAGCCCGCATCGCCGAAGCCCCAGAAACCGATTTTGACCGCGTGGCCGTTGACGCCTTCAAGCAAGCGTTACACCTCCACCAGCGGGGCAGAGCCTCTAACGACAACGACACAAGTGACGCTGCTACCCAACCAGTCGTTGAGATCATCGATACACTTTTTCCTGGGGAGAAAGTCAAGTTTTCACCCCAATTACTTCGCGACTTACTCCTCCAATACCCGCCGACTCCGGTAGCGCTTCATTTAATCAGAACCTACTATGGCCACAACCCTGAGGGGACTACCATCGATAAAGATACGGCGCTTATTGCGCTACGGACGGCGCTTTGGAACGCTGATTTCACCAATGCGATTAAAGTCACTGACGTTACTGTGGGCCACCCGCTGTACGTTGCCGCCAAACACAAGATTTTAAAGCAAGGCTTCATCAAGCTTGTGGCGACACTGGTCGGGGTAACTCTTTTCTCCAAATTTGGCGTTGATTGGGCCATCGATGCTGGCGTACTTCTGGACCTGTGGCGCCATCTTAGTGCCGTCAACCTGATGTTGATCACTTACTTGATCAACCTGAGTTTTTTCTTGACGATTGTCCAATTTGGTCGCCAGCTTTCGGCGCTGGGAGGTGATTTATTGACCTGGCAAAAGGGGACATTTTATACTCACTGGTTCCGCCACGCCGACGAGATGTTGTTTTCTACGAAGATTGTCGAGGCTGATCGTCAATTAAACGGTGGCGAAAACACTCCTGCCATCATCAACGAGCTCTGTCGCGTGGATGACGATATCTTTGCCCACCCTCATACTTTACAGCCTGGCTATACTAGAGACGGGCAAAAGATCAGATTACTCGAAGCCAAGGATAATTTGGACGATTTGATGATGCAAGCTTATTGGATGTCGGGTGGCGACGGGTTTGAGTGGGTGGAACCCGACCAGGATCCCGCGATGCTCCAGTGGCACCACCACTTACACGGCTATGCCAAGCTGGAAGTGAACGCCGGTGACGACGCCAAGAGCTTGAAATGGGCCGATGAGCTTGCCGACGGAGAGACCGCGGCATAAACTGTTGACTAAGCCCCTTGTACATAGTCATGAACAGAAATGAGACGAAACTCATGCGAAAACTAAGCCCACTCGAGAGTGGCGAAATCTGCAAGATTTATAGAATTATTTCTAATGTATATTTATTTTGAATCTCTGTATATACAAGCAAGATCATCGACTTACTGTGGTAACCACTAATCATTTGTCGAGACAACCAGTCAAGGATGACACTCCACGAGAGTCTTTGAGGGTGATATCAGACAGTATTAGTCAGCCACGTGAGCTCTATCTCCGAGAGATCCGCTAGAGCCATATCAGCCACCATTCTGGTATTTATAGCCCGAGTGCCCCTTACGTGACCCGATTCATCAAGACAGTGATGACCTACCGCAGCATGTGCGATTTAATGTTAGATCCCCCCAGCGGGCATGATTCTCCTCAAACAATACTGCCCCCCTCCGAGAGAGACAGATCTTTCGATCCATCGCCCCCCGATCGAGAAAAGTGTCTGCCGAGTGACAGTGTCTGAGGGCGCCTGTACACCGGAAAGTATACGACATTTTCGTATTGTCCGCCGAGTACGACCATAAGTGTCTGAGTCTCGGACCAGGGAGCCTACCTTCACCGTACATGGAAACACTGCAGTAGTAACCCTGGAAGTAGAACCCAAAGTGTCTGGGAATGGTAATGTCGCGGAATACGAAAAATGTCAAACTTTCTCGAGATCTGAGGACCGTATAATCTCGTATGTTTTTGGCGTGTATTACCACGGCTAGTCGAATGATTGATGCAATAAATAAGATGGAAAAATGTGGGGGTGAGGCTAGTGTCTGGCGGTGTCCACTGTCAGAGGATGAGCCTCACCGGCGGTGGCGTCGGTAGCGTCTTTAACGTCGGAGTTAGCCTCGGAATTATCGGCACTGTCGCTGGGGTCGTCGGTCCACTTCCACCGCGGGATAAGCCGGATATCACAGTCGGTTTCCAACTTAAGCTCTTCCCAGGGGTTAAAATTGTCCCACGCCAACTCAAAGTCTTCAATCAGGTCCATTCTAAACGTGCCTAATTGGATATGGGGCTTGGTATAGTGGGGGTTGACCCACGGCAGTTTCCCCTCCAATATGAGGTCGATGCGCTCGGCTTTATTCAATTCGTTAACGTCTTTGAGTTCGTTAGCCAATAACTCGCCGTACCGCTTGGTATTGGCGTCGTGGATTCCCTGGTAGAGGTCCTGGTATTTGCCTGGCGGGTGGAGCTGGCGCAATACCTGGGGCCGCGCTGGTCCCACGTCGCCGCCGGCGCTGGCGCCGTCGCCCTGCGCAATCTGGCGCTCCTTCACTTTGAGCCACTGATTGACCATCTCCGTCCACTGCTTAAACGGCATCGGCGTGTATAAGTCATAAGCGCCGAACCATGCCAGCGGCTGCTGGCCGTGGCGCTCGGCCACTCGCCGCCAGTGGCGCGCCTCGTCGTACCACGGGTCGTAAGGAAGCGCCATCCGCGCCATCTCTAGCCCCAGGCCAAACACTAGCACTGACCCAGCCAAAAACGGCACCAGCGCCTTGAGCGCCAGCTTCGGTCGCAGCTGGTGGTAGTAGCGCGCCAGGCGGTAGATGTGGCGGGCTTTGCTAAAACCCCAGATGCCGATGGCGAGCTGGAGGGCGATGGCGCCGGCGACGGCGGCACGGTTGTCCAGTGCCGGCGTGAGCGGGCCCCACACGAGGCCCACCAGCGGGTTGCGCGGAATGGCGATGCGGATGATGGTTTTGTCGTCGTCCAGCAGCAGCAGCAGCAGCCCCAGCGATGGCCGCAGCAGCCGGGGCGCCAGGTCGTCGGGAGGGGGGATGTAGACACCCATTCGGTGGTGAGCGAAGTGGCGAGCGACGGGGGGGGTTAAGTGTCTTTCGCTAATGGCGCGCGCGCACCCTAAAGCGAAGCCCGTAATAGCGGCGCCCTCAGCGCGGGAAAAAATGGGGAAACCCCAAAAACAGAAGGCGAGCCAGGCGCCAATGATGAGAAGGGAGAAGGTCAGAGGTAACTTTAGCAATAAATAATTGAGTAAATAGAGATTTAATTGATGATTAGGGTAAGGGCTCCCAATAAGTAATTATAGTATAATCAATTGTGGCAGTATAGCCACGGAGATGAGATAGCTGTGTGGCTAAGATTGGCTACAAGGAACTAAATTACTTTGATTTTATTGTGCAATATGAAGGACGGGACGTGGGAGCTGATATGCTTATTGTTCCCCGGCGAACAATTCTTCCTTGAGGTCGATGCCCAATTCCTTTCTGACATCGGCCAACTCGTCGAGGTAGGCGCGGTACTGTTCCTTGTTTTCGACCTTGTGTTGCAACGCTTCGAACACTCTGACGGCGGTGGGGTAGTCGTTGACTCTGCGGCACGCTTGCAACGCCTTTTCGATCACGGCGGGGGCGGGGACCAAGTCGTACGAGAAACAGTTGTTGAGGATTCTTTGCACTTCGAACAAGTCGTAGGCGTTTTCGAATTCCAGCTCGTATCTAGGGGTTAGTATGACAACAATCTAATGATGAAACTGCGCCCATGGCGGCTTAAGGGGAGACTTACCTGGCGGTGAATTCTTCGAACGATTCCTCGCGGTGTTCGTGTTCGGTGGTGTAGCGTCTCACGGGGGTGGCTCTGGCAAACGCCACGGCGCGGGGGGCGACACGGGGGACGGCGACTCTGGCTCTAATCGAGGCACGGAACACTTGCGAGATCATGATGGGGTAATCACTGAGGGACTTGCTCACACCGTTTTTTTTTTCGCAGGCGCTCCAGAGGGTAATTCATTGGTTGGTGAAAAAGTGTCAGCTGTATGCAGGCGCGGTTGTAGTGGCTAAAAAGTGAGCCCACCGGGGTTTGTCAATCCCCGAAACACCAGTAATTAGCAGTGAAGAAAATGATATTGAGGGAATTGTGATGCTTATTTGGTTTTGGCATGGTAAGGGTAAATTTAACTGGACTGGAAGTCTCTCGATTTTAATGGGTCATTATTAGTCTCCCATCAAATATCACGCCATTGTCGCAGCCGTACCATTCTGGTGGTCTTTTTGTAGTCAATTATGGCTCTATAATTTAACTCAATTGTCTAAGAGATAGTAGATAGCCCTTGTAGTTCAATTCCCCTCGAAAGGGGTAGAATAATGGATCCCATAATTTGAATGATTTTAAAATAATTATGTCATTTCGCTCCAATCCATTCTGCTCGAGACAACCACAAGTATAGAAATCAAACTGATATACTGGTTGTATCATTAAATGCAGAAAAAAGCGTAATTTTGACATTTCGAGTGGCTGTTGAGATCGCTTTAGATCGTACACTATTTTGATGTTTGTTAGATACTTAAATATCCAAATGATTGTCTCATCAGATGAGCACTATATACAATTTGAGTCCCAATTAACTTACACCATGGGGTGGGCTTTTCTCACCCGGTGGAACACTCTCCCTACGGGCAACCCGTACTGTTGGCGAAGCAGCGGCACCAGCCGGTCGTACTTTTGCCGCCAGAGGTGGCCACCCACGGCTGTAAGCTGGTGAGCTTCAGCAAATTGACGGATATCAAAGTGTTCGCCGTTTACAGAGCCAACATCGATTTTACCTGGTTGGCGCCACACCCAGAGACACGCTCTTTGGAATTCACCGGCGTTCTTTTCCGGAGTTAACGGCACGTAGTCAAAGAACACCTTGTCGGCATTTTCCATTTGCCATTTAGTGCCCAAAATGCCCTGAGCATCAGGAAGCAGGACATTGGCAAGCCCCCAGTGTAACGTCGTCAGGAACGAGTTAGCGGCCAAATCGGGAGTGTCAGGGTTCACCATCGCTACCGTATACAAGGTGTCGGGCTCGATATCGTCAAATTGACGGATCTGAACCGTAGGCGGTTGCGCCACGGCAAAACCGGGTAAAACGGTGCCTGGTTCCACCCACAGAGCAAATTCCGCATCGGCATTATGAGGGAACTTCACCTTAATGTCAGCGGTGGGTTCCACTGTGGGTAAGGTGTCGGGGATCATGTGTAATTGTTCCATTCTTTGCATGGTGACCATGCGGTCGTGCTCGGCCCATTTCTTCCGGGCGTACTCCCGGTAGACGGGCTGCGACAAGTCGTCGGCCTCAGCGGTTTCAGTGGCGACGTTAAACACCACTTCGGGGTTGTGTTTTTCGGCGGCGGCCAACGTGGCGGCGATCCGTTTGCGGTACCCCGCCTGTTTGTCGGCGTCAGCCGAAGCGAGCTTCTGCTTAAGCTGTTCCACCTCCTCGTACTTGGTGGCGGCGTCCTGTTCGAGAAGCTCATACGCCATCTGGAACGTCTCGTTGATCTGTTCCGGCTGGTGGTACCCCCAGCGCTGTTCACGGTTAGCGATGGACAGCGGACCATAGAACTCGGGGATGGCGCCCAACACGTCACGACGACTGTTGGCGTCGGCCACTCGGAGCAGAGCCGCTCTCGTGGCGAAGTCGCTCCACACCAGGGCAAATCTTCTCAGGTGACGAAGCATACGATGAAATTTTCAGTCGCACCGAAAAATGATGGCTCGTAGGGTCTACCATCTAAGCTTTGGGAAGACTACAACTACCGCGACTAAAATTAGTCTTTTGATGGATGATAGCCGACTATTACCAGTCACTAACCCTGATTAGCCACCCTATGAATCTTTAATTATCTTCTTTGGTTGACTATTTTCCTTACCTGTGTTCGCACTCTCTACAGATAATTACACCCGTGCTGCAATAATTGAAGACCTCTTGACGGCTACTATTACTCCGACTATTTCAACTAGAATCAGCCTTTTGATTGATAATAATCAACTATCAACCATCACTAACCCTAACTACCTACTACCCTTGTAATCATTTCTCTTTTATGAGTGCTGATCACTACTGCCCATGTTGATAGGTACACCCGTGCTGCAATGATCGCACATCTCTAATTTCGTTTATCAATTAATAGAATCAATTAAATAGTGTATATGGTAAGGGTGGTGATAACAGGTTTTTGTTTGTGAAAAGAACCCCGTCAACAATAGTACAAATGGGCCATAAACGGCCGTAACTCCAGGTGGTAATGCCTTATTTATCCGGCAACCGCTGGTTGAAGATCAGCGGCGGCGGCGGCGGCGGCATCCCCGCCTGCGCCTCGCTAGCGCCGACGGCATTCTGGCCGAGCGACGGCGCCAGCCCCAACTCAATCACCCGCAGCTGGAGCTGGAGGGTGTAGTCGCGCAACTGCATGTTCTCCGCCTTGAGCTCCTCGATCGTTTGTTTCAACACGTCGGTCTCCGCCGCTTTGGCCTCGAGCTCCTTAATGTACTTCTCCTTGCGCTGTCTGAACGCCCGCTGAGCGTTGCGGTTTTGCGCCGCCCGCTTCGTCGTCAGCACTTGGCGCGGGTACTGGCGCAGCGGCGCCGGCGACGCCAGCGCCTGGGCCTCCGTCGCCACCACTGCTGCCAGTTGGGCCGCCAGCGGGAGCGGCTGGGGCGCCGCCGCCGACGGCATCACCACATGGCTGGCAATGTACGGCTGCTGAGGCTGAGGGGGAGGGCCTCTGTCTTGGATGCGCCCGTGCGCGAGGGCGACGCCGTCACGGTCGCCGCCGGCGCCCGGCGCCTGGGGCGCGTGGGGCGGCGGTAACCCCAGCGCGTCGCCGTCCTCGTTGGCGTGGGCGGTGAACAGCGGGTCGAACTTCTCTTCGTCTTGTTTCCACCCTAGATTCATCGTTACCGAGGTAAGGGATTAGTCAGAGCCAACGTAAGGGATGCTTACGCGATCGCTTGGTGAGAAAAAAGTGCGAAAACTGCTGCTCCCGGCACCCTCCCGACCGAAAAAAGATTCACGGAAGTCTAGACTAGCAAAGCACTATAGTATGGTAAGTTTTGTGATATCAGGTGTTTTGCCTTCAAATTCGACTATGTCATTACTCTCTGTCACAACTACTACTCTAGCTTATTATATTCCAGTTACAACAAGTCTATTATCTCCTATTTCCACTCCCTTATGCTCTCTGTGCTAATTAATTAAATAGTAGGGCTGTATTGGTTGTTGCACGACTAATAATCGACCCACCGCTGGGATGCGCGCACTCTAAATCCGTGTTTATCGATTGTATCCCCACAAGACCCACCACACCACACACACCGGCGGGGCCCTTCCACCGCCCGCCATGAGAACCACGTCCCACTTCTTCCCCAAGCTCCCCCGCCACGACCTCACTGACACCTCAGAAACGCCATTGGACGCCACGGGAACCGCAAATGGCCCCCCACTTCCCTCGTACCCTCACCCCCTCGACGCCCTCAGCCGCACCCCGTTGACTCCCCACTTACCCCCCTTGGCGCCCCACCACCTCCACCAGCAGTTTCCTCAGAGTATCCAGGTGTCGCTTAATCACGGTTTCGACCACGGATTCAACCTGGTGCTCCAGGCGCCGGCACCGGCACCGGCACCGGCACCGATCCCGACGATATGGAACCACTCGCGCCCCGACCCGCGAGACCTGCTTGGAGCGTCACCGCTGTGGTTTGACGACGGCGAGTTTGACCTCCCGTTAGACCTCAGTATCGTCGATGATGATGACCCGGTGCTGACGGTATCATTCACTGAGTCCAAACCTCAATTTATGAAGACGACGTCAAAACCCAATATTTACAGCTCCAAAGTGAATACGCCGGTGTTTGTGCCTGACTCCCAGGTACAATTAAGCGACCCCTTTGGCTCAGAACTGCTGGCTGGCGGTGATAATCGCAATCTGCCGTCGTTCCCTCCCACCCCACCAACCATCCCCAGCGCTGCTCCCCGCATCATCCTGAAACTGGTCGACCACGACGTTGGTGCTGGCACTAACCTCTCGTCATTGCAGGCGACTACGCCGCAAACGTCGCCTACCCCGCTCAAATACCTTAGTCCCCATCCGGTGCCGGTAGTGCTGCTACCAAAGATGCTCAATAAAGCTCCTACCAAGCTCCCTGACTTTGACCACTTGGTGATGGCTCTGAAGAACGGCGAACTCTACCTGGAAGACTACTGCCTGACGTTTTACAAGCGCAACGACCACGGCTACATGTTCATCAGAGAACCGACCACGCTGCTTAAAGTGAACTATACTGGCAGCAGACAGTGGGTGCAAGTGAAAGTGAAGATGCCTGGTGTCTCCAAAAAGACTAAGGTCAACATCAAGAACTTACCGGTGTGGAAACCGCTCAGCCTCAACCCCGTGGTCAATAAGCGCAAGGACAAGCGGCGCCGGTGGAAGCGCTTCCAGCTGGTGTGAATGTCCCACCACTGCACCCGTCAGCCCCAATTGAAGCGTGGGTGATAATGAATCCGGCAAATAATGACAAATAATTGCGGCAAGGCGCCCTCTGCGGCACCACTGCCTGTCGCCAGTTTTGCTAATACCCAAAATTTTTATCGGGTGGTGTGTGTGACGCAGTGGGACGTCAATGGCACCGCACCGTCGACATTATCAACCCGCCTGAATGCGGCAATAACTGACGGGTTGGCGGAAGTGGCACTAGCCGGAACGAACGCAACCGATGTCAGCCGAGCCCGACATCGTCAATGGCAGAAAGAAATTCTAATCGTGATACCCTACCTAATACTCTGAGAGAAATATACTATTCCCCCTGTGAATGTGCCTCCAACTCTGTTTCCCTTCCCCTTCCCCCACCTTCCTCGACCCCCACTGCTATCTCCCCGAGACTCGCTTCTGAAACCTCTCCCGCAATTGTAATTAATCTGGCCACAAGCTCTCGCTGTCACTGCGCCAATGCCTAAATCGCTTTTGCGCGGCCCCGCCGCATAAACCCGATGTACAGCACCGCGCGTATGTGGGTTCTCCTACAGCTCCCCCACGGGCGCCACTTTCTTTTTTTATCTCGTGAAGACGACATTTCGAGATCGACATTGCGAATCGGACCCAAAACCCACCTGCGATGCGTGTCGTCCAAAAACCGCGAGTATTTTTTGCCCGTCTCAGACCATAGCGACATGCGCGACATCTCCCCTACATGGAGCCAACATCAATGCGACAAGGCGACATCATCAACAAGCGCGCGACATCGCTGCAATTGCCAGCCGTCCCCTCGCCCGTGTTTGCCAGCACTCACGGTGGGTGGCCGGATTTGTCGTCCGGTAGCCATTGGGGCCGAATCGGGTCTATCAGTAACCACGACTTTGTCAGTGTCGAAGGCGTCCCGTTTGTGTCATTACAAATGACGATGCCCGTCGACAGCTTCGATGTGTCAATGTAACGTCAAAAGCACAAGCCCCTCACTCGGCAAACGATGACGTAAACGGGAATGGGGGAATTACAATTGGCGATACACGAGGCTAACCGGAAAAGAAAACCTGCACAATAGCTGTCACTGGCTTAGCAGCCGCTCTGTGGTGATATCGATTTCTTAAACATTTTCCACTAAATCCCGATGAAAGTACCAAACCATCACCAGCCCCAACTAAAGTCCCGACGTAAGACGGATCGCCACTGGTGCCCAACCAACTTGCGATGTCGCCCCACTTCCCTCTCTATCGTGACAGCAAACTGCGCCGTGGGGAAGCTGTTGCATTGATTGCGCACTCGCCATGGGCTAGGGTGAATTTAGAATTTGAGGACCGGATCGAGAATTGAGGCTCCGGGGCTTAACTCTGATGACATGCCACCGGTAATTCTTTCTTTTTTTTTTTCCTATGCCAAACGATGATCTCACTAGCCGTGCCGGGAGCCTGTTTCACCTACGGAAATTCGTCGGTAGCTCCGTCGGCCTGTTTGTAGTCGTACGACGATGTTCGAGAACTTCAGCGTTACCCGTCATTTGCTCCGAGAGTTGCCAAGACGGAGAGATCCGTCTCTCATCTGCCAAGATTAGGTTAGGGGTGGGGGCATTCATGATGCCAAGCTTACAGTGAAGGGTCTAGAATTAGTTGTCTATCCATTAATGTTCGTATGAGTCGTTAAATGGGGTATCTATGCAAAAAAATGAGTGGGTGGGGTGCTGCGTGTCTGTCGTTGAACGTTTGTTCACGCAGCGATGGCGGGGGCGAAATAGTTTTCCTCGAATGTCAACTCTTCCTCTTCAATGAAGCTGTGGTTCTCACGTCTGATGCTCAGCTGGGTGACGGCGGTCACCAACTGGGCCAATTCGTCAGGGGTATCGTAGCAGTCTTCGTCGCTCAGGTAGTCCAGCTCCAGTTCCGACGAGAAGGTGTCTACGTAGTCTTCGTCGTCGCTCAGCTCCAGCTCGACTTCGTTATACTCTATCAGAGTGTGGGCAACGGGGTCAGGCTTGGTGTTATTAGTGTTGGCGGCCTTGACTTGCGACACCTTCGATTGCGCCAAGCGCTCACGCTGCAATTTGAGGGCGGCGGCCTTGTTTTCCAAGTAACGGGCATGGGAGTATTCGTCAATGTCGCCCATCAAGTTGTCCAACAAGTTCGCTTGCAACACAAGCGAGCGGAGCCCCAGACGGGGGTTATTGGCGTCCAGCACCAACTTCCGCTTCACTCGCCCGGCTAGCACGTACGCTTGGTGGAAGTTTTGCGCGTTGAGGTGGCCCATTTTTTGGATTCGTTGAACTAATACAAAACTGGGCTGCCCGTTGCCATTTATATGTGGCTCTTTAGCCCCATGAGTAAAAAGCGGTCTAGACACCTGCACGCGAGATTCGGTGCATATCGGTTGCTGCGCACCCACAATCTTTGGCGTATGGGCCCCCGGCGATTTCCCACGCGATACAAGCAAAAAATAAAAAAACTACGAACGTAAGTTAGTAATATTACGCGAAAGGGTTGTCTGATTTGATTCGGGGCAGTTGGAGCAGCGTGGTAGTCCGTAGACGGGGCCGGCTGGCGTGCGGGATTAATCGGAGAAGATACGGCTTTTGTGGCCTGACGGGTTTATCGTGGCTCGATTGGCCCACTGGCTCCATTGCTCCCCTGGCCATGACGTCAGGCGATGATGTCAAGGCTATTTTGTCCTTCCTTACAAAAGCGGCAACGGCGTCATGGTGCGGAGATCTCTTTAGTCAACCGCACTAGCCACCGAAGACTTGATCCGCTCCGGGTGCTTAACCTGATGACCGCAACGGCAACTGTAGTAGCTAGAGTAGTAGTTATAGTAGCTCTTGCCAGGTAAATCTGAGAGGACGGAGGCAGCACGGGGCCACTCAATCCGATAGCCTATTGTTTCAATGCCTCCAGCGGCCCTATCGACGTGACACCTGGTCCCCTACAGTCATATGCCTCTGTGTCTTCCCGCTCAAACCGAGCTAGGGGTAAACCGAGCTAGGGGATGTTGAAATTAGGCATACCAATTTGCTAAAAAAAAAGCCCCCGCACGCTATTAGCGCGGAGACTAGGGAATGCGGCTAAGAGAGGGGAAAGGCGGAAATAGGTAGATCATTTTTCCTGCAGTGACCCTCCCAAGACCCCCTGTACGGGCCAATGAGAGCCACAATCGTCCTGTGGGCAGCAGTATGGGCGGCGGGGGCAGCAGCCGTGGTCTGGACTCAGGCCGTGGTCGACCCCCACACGGTACCCCCCAATATCTATGGCTTGCTCAACCAACTGGCAGCGATCGCCGACGCTACCTACTGTATTACCGAGACCTCTCGCATCCGCCAGCCTTATCAGTGTAATAAGTGTGATACCGAAGGGTTGGAGCTTGTCTATCAGTGGTTCACTTATCACGCCGACTGTGGCTACGTCGCCATTTCCACCGACGCCGAACAGGAGGAAGTAGTGATTGCTCTTCGAGGCACCCACTCCTTGGGAGATGGCGTCCAGGATATCAAAGCTGATTTGATCAAGTGTCGTTGGTGTGACCATTGTCAGGTTCACCGGGGGTTTTGGCAGTACTTCGAGGCTACGGTGGCGCGGGTCAACCCCGTGGTGATGGCCTACATACGCCAGGGGCGTCGGTTGCGTATCATTGGCCACTCCCTCGGGGGAGCGGTCGCCATCCTCTTGGGTGGCTACTACACTCGACTAGGCATTGACCCCACCGTGGTCACGTTTGGGGCTCCGCGATTGGGCAACGCTCAACTTAACGAATGGGTGTATTCGTCGTTGGGATTGTGGTTTCCTGTATGTCACAAACACGACCCGGTGCCGACAGTACCGCAGCCGTATGCCCCTTTCAATTGGCAGGTGTTTATCGACACTGAGCCTAATGAATTGCCGCCGCCACAAGATAAAGTGTACTGGTGCAATGGGTGTATCGACGATACATTCCAGCACCCTTTGCACCAGCCAATGGTGATCCAACCTCATCTTGAATACTTCCGTACTCTAGGCTTGTGCCAATGGCAAGTACCCTCTCCTCCGACAATAACGGTGACAATCTCATGAAAACTGGAACTGAGGCCCATCGTCCTCAGAGTCCAGCTCCCTCAGGACGGTAATCGTCCGGCGGGCCAGAGCCCTAGCGGGGGCTTGTCGCCTTTGTTGCGGCGGTGGCGGGGTTGGGGTCGCTGAACTAGCAAACTCTTCGTCAGCAGGGACAAACAACCCGCTGAAGTCTGCCTCCATCTGCTCCTCAGCCTCCGCCGCCTGATTGAGTCCCTCAGCAAAATCAATGCCAACATCGTGACGAGGCCTAACCACTTCTACTGACACAAACAGACGCCGAAAGATCGGCACCACCTGCTGGACTTTGCTAAACTTCTTGAAGTTCTTTCGTCCATTATACCTCTCGTCAAACAGCTTTTGCGTATTGTAGTCCTGCAGCAGCCGCATCGGGATATCTCTCACCTCGACGATGGCAAGGTTGGCCAAGTTGCCGATGGCTTCTTGCAACAGCTCTTCGTCTGCTTCCTCTTGGGTCTCACCAAATTCCAGGCGTAGTGAGTCTTCCGCCTTCAGCTTAGCCCGTTTGATTGCCTCTACCAACGAAACTTTCGGTTCAAATTTAAACCGTTTGGCATGAGTGGTAGTAGTTTCCTCGGGTGTCTCAATACTTCGCTTACTCGGTTTTACTATTGGTTCTTGGGAAGTCTCGCTTTCTTCTGCTTTGGCTTCGTCATTAGTGTCACCAGTGGCACTAGACGCTCCATCTTCAGCGTTCTCTTCAATCTTTGGTGCTGAGTCAGTAGTTGAAGACACATCAGCTTCGGGTTCTGTCGTGGCTTTTGCTGAATCAGTGGCGTCATTCCCTTCAGGTTTCTCTGTTTCAGGTTCCACTTTGATATCAAAAAATGCCATTTTATCAGCAGTTTTCTCATACCGAGGACGCTTTCGTCGCTTAGTCCCTTCTGAGGTGCTGCTATTGGTCAATTGTGAACTGGTAGGGGTATTAGACTCTTGAGGCATTGCTCGTTTGCGTGTAAGCCCAAATTGAGCAATATGTTTGCTGTCAACATCGTCGATGGCCAAGTACAAGTCGTCAGTTGTAGTTTCAGGGTACTCACCAATCATGCGATCAATCACCATGAACGGCGGGTTTTTATCAGATAATAATGCAACCACATCGTCACTGCCACTTACTTGTATCACTTCAGCACACCCCATGGCTTCTAGTATGCCTATAAGTTTAGAAGCGTACACAACTGCTGTCACTCCTTTGAGTAATGATTTCCGTCGAGGATCGGGAGCCACGCCACCAAACTTGTCGTAGTCTATGTTATACCACCAACCATCAACGTCAGTAATATTATTGGCCACATAGTTTTCCCAGTCTTGAGTTAGTAGGCCAATTGCTCGGGCTTTAGCTTCATATTGCACCACTTTGAATGACGAAGGCAAGCACAACTGAGCCTCTGCCAAAGGCACATTCTGATATATCACGCCTGCATCATTTAAGATTAGCAGGTTGCCATACAATTTGAGCACCTCACGCTCAATCTTGATGGGTGGTCCATCACATTTCAATTCAATTGTAATGGGCTCAGTATACGTCACTGACCGCTCCTGCTCGCCTTTGGAAAGCTTTTGTATGACACCATTGATAGTAGACTTGGCTCGACTCATTAGTTTCACGTAGAGTTCGTTGCCATCAGCTGAACACAGGAGCTCTAGCTGTTTGCGAGATACTGAAACCAGGTCGATTTGGAGATCGACGTCCTCATCGCGACCAATGACTACCGTTCCTGACGATAGTATTGGTATTGTTGCTTTCTGTTAGTTAAAATTCAATTTCAATCCATTTGGAAACTTACTGGAATCGCGTCTAACTATCCACATCTACTCTGCGGAGACGCGCTGTGTGAGGCACCCGATTTTTGGTGCGGCGAGATCTACGAGGTAACAAAATTGCAGCACGGGGACTCGAAAGCCTCACTAGCCAAATGGACAAGAAATCACATCTCATACTCTCTAGGACATAAATCATCGTGATAAGCGGTTGAACATTACTTCGAGTCTTCCGAATATTATCACGACACATGGCTTAACACAGACGTATCTCAAAAATGTGAAATTTGGTGTCTCCTTTTTCTCCATAATTTCACACTCGTTACCAATTTAGGGAGGTTGTGCGAAATAATACGCCAACGTGGAAAATGCATGGAGAGAGCGGAATTTCGCAGCCGTATACCGACACATCCGAGAGGAGGGGATGTTGCAGTGATGTACGATCCAATTACATAAATTTACTTCCTAACGGAGTTCCAGTTCCGTCACAATGTAGGAGCAGACAATGTATTGTCTTTTTTGAGCTTCAGACGACGATGAAGTGAGTAAACACAAACAATGCAACCACAACACCAGGCAGTGTTGAAAAGGATAAACACACATGAGACATGGCCAAGATTTCTGAAAATGTCTGGGGTTATCCTATCCCCGTGCCATTTGTAATTTAGTATTAACAATTGTGGCTTGTTGATAGATATTCATGCAAGATTACAAAACTTTTCAAAACGTGGTACAAACCTTTGTGACCGTGGAATCTCGGATGAGTATAATTGGTAACGCCGGGCGAGCTCGGATGTGTCCGAAACTCTAAATCCAAAACCACATTGCTCGATTATTGTGAAATGTACCCAGTCAGCCAATTATCATATGGTAGACATGGACAGGGGACAAACTTAATTGAAAGTTTTTTATTCCTATACTCTTCTGGCATTTCCTCTCTATCCATAAAATGTAAATATAACTCACAGGCTTCATTCAGGCCGAATAAGAATAATTCCTAGAAATAGATATCCGCGACTCGCAGAGGTCAGATGAGGGTTTTGCTGCCTTCTTCTGTTCCATATAGCGAAAGAAATAGACTTTAAAGTATTTCATCCAAAGGGTAGCCGGCAGGACCGTCTCTACGAGGATCTGAACCCAGTGGGAGACTGATAGTTTACTTTTTGAAAAAGAGCTACGTCACAACTTAGGTGCTCATCCGACACTCAAAACAAGTAGATAACAGCTTCCAAATAGTGCAAACCGCAATAAAATCTTTAGAAAATGTGAAACCAAGCAAGATTAATGCCATTTGAAGCGTTTCAAGCGCGAAAAGTGACTTCTGGCTAGTATTGTATGACAAAGTGGAAAAAATTAAAAAAAATATATAGCACACGTGGCGCAGTGGTAGCGCAGCAGATTGCAAATCTGTTGGTCCCCGGTTCGAACCCGGGCGTGGGCTCGTTTTTTATTTTTAGGAGTTGGCAAGCCTTAAGTTTTTGAATGGTCTTCGTTCAGCTTAGTTTCACGGCGGTGTTTACCAAATCATCTCCAGTACTTGTTAGAGCATTACTCCAAAGACCTTACATATTCTCATTTTTTAAACCTCAAAAGCATCACAACCACGAAAATGTTAATGGAGACAAACTAGTGAAACACAACAACAACCAATCATAATTGTTAAAACAGATAAATTTACAGCTCAATTCCTTCTATTTTATCATTCTCTCAGGTTCTCCGCCACCTCGTCGCACTGAGGCAACGAGCGCGGCTCGGTGGCAACTGGACAAAAAAACTACGCCTAACCCATACTGGATAACCACACCCCGAATTTGCCGGCGATGGGGGAAGATATCGAGATGAAGGACGCCACCACGGTGGCGGCGACCACCGAGGACGACACCAAGCACATCATTGACGACATTGACCAGAATTTCGCCCTCCTTTCCAAGGCGCTGGCCAACTTCGATAACTGGTACATCTCGAAAGTCCTCCGTGATTTGGGCCCGTTGCGCCGCAAACTCGTCAAGCACCCCGAGGTGCTTGTCACCGCCATCACCAAGGTGTTTGGCTCGGCTCCCGAGTGGCACTACGTCTACCAGGCGTTGTCGGCGTCGCCTGACCCTCTGGTGCCCGAACGCAAGGAGATCCCTTTGATCCCTGAGATTGAGCTCTATCTCCACTTGTTGGTGCAAGTGTACCTTTTGGACACTGAACAGTTACAGAAGCTTGACCAATTCAACGAGCATGTGGTGCGGTTGATGGCGGCGGTCAACCACCGGTCGCTTGACTTTTTGAAAGCAAAGATCTGGTTCTACATCCAGCGGACTAAAGAATTATTAAACGATCTTTACCCGATACGCCCAGCGCTCTTGGCGGGCTTAAGAACGGCGGTGTTGCGCCACGACCCTGAGACTACGGGGCTGATCTTGACGTTGCTTTTGCGTAATTACTTGCTTACTCACGACGTCAACCTGGCAGCCAACCTTGTCGACAAGACGGAATTCCCCGAAAACTGCGGTAATGCGTTGAGCGCTCGTTACTACTACTACTTGGCCCGCATCAACGCCGTGCAATTGGACTACAGTACCGCTCACGAGTTCGTGATTGCCGCCATCAGAAAGACCCCGCAGACCTCACTTGCCACCGGTTTCCTCCAGGCGGCCACCAAACTACAGATTGTCATCGAGTTGTTGATGGGTGACATCCCCGAATTGCAGATGTTCCGCAAACAACAAGGCCGGTTTGAACCCTACCTTATGGTGACCAAAGCGGTGCGTTTGGGTGACTTGAAGCTTTTCCTGCAAACGGTGAAGAAGTACGAACAGGAGTTCAAGCAGGATAACAACTACACGTTGGTGATCAGATTGAGACAGAATGTCATCAAGACGGGTATCCGGATAATCTCGCTTGCCTACTCGAAGATCTCGTTACGGGACATTTGCATCAAGCTTCACCTCGACTCGGAAGAGCTGACGGAATACATCGTGTCGAAGGCGATCCGCGACGGGGTCATCGATGCCCTGATCAACCACGAAAAGGGGTACATGCAGCTGCGGGAGTTGATTGACGTCTACTCCACTAAAGAGCCCCAGGCTGAATTTGATCAGCGGATCCGCTTCTGCTTGCTGTTGCACAACGACTCGGTGAAAGCGATGCGCTACCCCAGCGACGTCGACGCGCCGCAGCAGGTGGAAAAGGAGGACCGCGAAGACGAAATCGACTTGTTGAAGGCGATTGAAGAAGGCGACCTAGATGACTACATGGACTAGACACCTCTGGTTCGCCGCCAAATGGTCTCTTGGTCGCCAAGAGCACCTTCTACGAAAAACCGCAAATAGAGCTTAATCCCGGGCACCAATAGCGAAATGATACGAAAATCACGTAAACCTGTAGTATTCAAGTGATATAGACCATGGTGGTAATTGATTTGGTTCATCTTTGCACTATGTGCAGTACGTATGTTTTTGGCAGTTCACAGTGCACACCTGCCTGACAGCGATTCAGTGGGGTACCATGAATGAGACGAAGGACCCGTTCATACAGAATGAGTGAGTATTACACGTTATCACGACCATATCAACATTGCCACTAACCATCAGAGACAACCTTCTGCTTGCCGAGTTGATCCCCCGCATCCTCTTTGAGCGACGGCTGTTCCTTGACATTACCGAGGCCAGTCTCGAACAAGAGATCGAACAGGGCCAGACGCCGGAGGAAACGGAGGTTTATCCGCTTACACCACAAGAGGATGACTCCGAAGACCCATTGGAGCGGTTCAACCGCCAGACGATGGACCTCACCAAGAATATCAATCTGGCATTGAACGAAACCCAGTTGTCGCTCGACTTCGTGCTGTTGCTTCTCCTGCTGATACGACAGCTGGACAAGATGACGATCTCCCCCCACTTACAGAAAAACGTGCCCATGGGGTCGCTTTCCAGTGACCGGCTTGTGAAAAACCTGTCATCGACAGACCTGTCATCAGAGCTCGATAAAGATGGCCAACGCGTGGGCCGAGGTTGGAAGATGGAACTGCACCAGAAAGTAATTGATTTGTTCAGTCAGAGCCATAAGGATCTCCTGGCACAGCTTGAGAAGGAGAAGCAGTACTGGTCGCAAGTGAACGTTGTCGTGTCTAACCGTGAAGTATTATTTAAGACTCGTGAACCTGACCTGAATCAACGAGCGATCGGAGTGAAATACGGTTACGGTGATCTGGGGCTGAGTTACCATGATAAAGGGTTGGCCATTCTTCGCAAAGTTGATGATACTGGTGAAGTTAAGTTTACTCCAGTGACGTCACTGAACCGAGTAATAGAGAAGACATTCAAATACGTGCGGGTGAGAATCTTATCCAAAATCGATGGCATCTACTCATTAACCGGTCAACTGCAGTTCAAGTACGAGGCTCATGAGGCTGGACTGGGACTCATTTACGATATCGACAAGGCGCGGTATTTCTTATTCGAAGAAGACTTATTCTACCAACTTACTCGTGAAGCGAAGACGTTGATTAACTATAACGTCAACATCATTTCCGATAAAATCATCTTAGAAGTGAACGATGAAATCATTGAGTTTGAACTGGTAGCCTACGACGAAGCCACCGCAGACGACTTGGACTATCTGAACGTCAACCAGTACTCATCCATCAATAACGTCAAGTGCCAGAAGATTTTGGTGTACCTCAAAATCATGTTGTGCTGCTACTACAAGTATAATCTTCTGCTCAAACAAAAGATGCCCACTACCCTTACCAAGTGGAAACAATCACACAGTCATCCATTGATCTTACGACCGCTTCTCGGTAATATTCGTCACGAGTTGGACGTGAACCGCATAGTGGACATCTTGCACAAAGAACTTGGTGAGTTCAACCCTGAGATCAAAGCTGAAAAGTATACCAATTTGGAAGTGTCTCGTCCCCGTGCCACTGGTGATAATCCTTTCCAAAAGCTGGTGGAAAGACCTCACCTGCGCGTGACAGCAGTGGTGTCTCACGCCACTAATCAACAGAAGCTTAAGATCCAAATTGAGCTCACCACGAACGAAAACTTCGTCAACTTAATCATGAAATTGAACATCACCAAGTTCCCTGACGCCGAACTGATGAATAAGAATCTTAATGGTGTCAACGCGTTGGCGATGTCATTCAATGACTTCAACGATATTGGTGAGTGCCTTGGATGGTTGGTGCGCAACTTTGTGGACGAGTAAGCATTTATGATAGTGGCAGATTGTGGAAGAGAAAGAATCAGTTTAATATAGAGAGTATATTTCTAAATGTAGCCCCTACAATATCAATTACACTTATGGAGCAGGCCAGAGCTTCACATGGTCAAAAGAAGCACTCTATATCGTGGGCTTATTAGGCACGAGATATTACTATATGCTATCGAAATAGTCTTGCAGCTGGGGAATTGGCCAGCGCTTTTCACAATGCAGCGTTTGAGAGCGATGAATATGCAACTAATCGAAACTTTTGGGGATTAAACACTGCGCTACAGTGCAGAGTCGTCTTATAGATGAAGTGCGAGTCAGCCGGGAACAAGTGTACGCTCTTCAGATGTCCGACAATTTCCATCCATTTTCTCCTTTAACTTATCAATCAGTATCATGAAGCTGATAGGCTGATAGATTAAACGGTAAATAGAATACACGACAAGTCGAGGCCCTCTCGATAGTGTGCTGAGTCTCATCTTTCGATCTGAGAGTGACGCTGTTCTGCTGCAAATAATACCAACAGACACTGATCTTCCAGGGTGAAAATGTGGTTGTTCATCCACTCCGCACCCGTTCCTCGGAACCCACAATTACAGCGACCTTTCTCAGCATACAACGTACTAAGGGTGGCGTAATCTGGGAAGCGAAGAGTATTGTACTCAAAGTGGGTGGAGAACATATGCACTCTGCAGTTAGTTTTACCGTCGAACAGTCCACATTTCCCAAGCCCACTGAAGGGACAGTCGAATGTCCAATCGTGACAATGAGACTTGATGTGCTGTTGCAAGTCGCTTTCAAGAAACATGCCACACACTGAACAGTGGCCTTCTGTCGTAGCGGTGGGATCAAGTTCGTCGGTGACTAAGGGACACGGCTTGAAGGGAGACAACACATGGTAATAGAACCACGTCTGCGCAGCGCCGTGGTACCCACCACATTCACAAGTTCCTTCGCGGGCCAACAAACCTTTCGTAGATAATCTCGTTCGGTCAGGGTTCACATCAAATTGGAAATGCCGCGAAAGAAGATGGTTGATTCCCTGAACAGCCGACTTTTCATCCTGCGGATTACAGCCACACTTGCCAAGGGAGGCAAAGTTGCATTTCATCCTCAATGCCTCGATGCCCTCGTGCTCAGATTGGTGCATTTCCAACGCGTAGCGCGTGGCAAAGAGGCCATTACATGTGGAACACTTCCAGGCGGAGGAGATCGGCACGTTGACCCGGGGGTTTGTCAAGATCTTGCACTGGTTGTCCAACACGTGGTGCTCGATCCACCTTTCCCCCGAGCCCCGCCACCCACAGGCACACTCGCCGTAGTGTTCCAATAAATCCGCCATCGCCGCTCCATGTAACGCGAGGCTGTAGTATCGGAAGTGTCTTATAAGCATGTGTTTCTTGGCGTGAGTAGGACCGACGATCTTGACGTCGCCACAGAGATTGAGGAAACTGAACTTGCAATCGAACATCCAGTTGCCGCGGTGGGAGATGACGTGTCCCTGCAAGTTGTAGTGGAAGAACTTTCTGCACACGGGACAGGTGCCTCTGTCTGGTCGTGGGCGGGGCGCTTCGGCTGTGGTCGAGTAATCGTCGTGGGAGTCCTTTGGCTGGTACCTGGTGAGAGCGGTGGACGACTCAGTGGAGGCGGCGGTAGGCGGCGGTGGAGACACCACACGTCTACCTCGAGGTGGCGACGCCACCCGTATACGCAGAGGTATCGGGAGAGGTGCTGGAGGAGCCGTGGGAGCTGTGGGAGCCGTATGAGTGGGAGGAGGCGGTGTGACAGCCGTGGCAGCCGCGACCGGAGCATTAGAATGAGCTCCCAATTGGCCATTAGAGGGAGCATAAGGGAGACGACCTCTTGATGGACTATCAGGAACAGGATGAGCATCAGCGGAATCAACGGATTCAGAGGTCGAGGCTCTAACTGTAGCGCAGGGTAGAGCTCTGGGTGGGGTAGGGGTCTCAGCTGGCTTCGGGGGCCGGTCACCGAGGTTTAGCCGCAACACCTCGCGATTGCCCAATAGCGAATTGAGGGTAAACGTCGGAGACACGGCAAAGAACTCATCGTAGGTCTGCGGGTCGGAGTGCTTGGATTTGCCGGCTGCCGCCATCGGGCCATGGGGAGGGAGTGCGAGCGGCGCCCCGCTCCGCGCATCAGGGCATTTGTTTTTGCACGACGCGCCCCACTAGCACCACTAGCACCATTATTGTCGATGACCCAGGAGCACGCCACCGACGCTGACGCCAGCATCGCCGACACCTACAAGCAGATTGCCGACGCCGAGGCCAAGGCGGAGCAGTTGGAGCGCATGCTCGACGATCTCGAGGCGAAGATGGATGACTTGGTCAAGGAGGCGGAGGACATCACCGCCACCACCAGTACCAGTGAACCGGCGCCCCCCACCGCCTAAATATAATTAGCCCTTACGAATTTTACGCAATATTTATTTGTTTAGCAGTCGTCATCGTCATTACTTTTCCGGCATTGGCAACACGTGCAACCGGTCGACCTCGGTCTCCTTGTTCACCTCTTCCTCGCCGTCAAACTTGAGCCGCACGTTATCCTTTTTGTGGCCCACCACCATCGCCGTGTAGAAAGTAGTGGTCTCGGGGTAGCGGGCAAGCACCCGTGTCCCGTAAGGGTAGTTGGTCAACGTCTTGGCTTCCAGCGCCGGCGGGATCAAAAGCACCTCCTTGTAGTTAGCTTTAAACGTCTGCCCCGGGTTATTATTTTCATCGGGCTCCGGGTCCCTAATCTCAAACTTGGTCCCGTCCGGCAGCACTTTCATCACCTCGCACTGGATCCACTCTTCCATGTGGCGGTTGCGTAACCTGAACGCCACGTCCAGCCCCACCACAATCGGCTCCAGCGGGTTGAATTTAGACGTATAGAACAGGCGCCCTTGTTTCCTTTTCGATTTCGCAGTGTTTTTGCTCAGCGTGTTCTTCAGCGCTCTCCCTGGTCTCGTCGTCACCACCAGTTCTTCGCCCAGTGCTACCAGCGCGTCATCATCGTCATTATCAGCGTCTTCAGCTTTAGCAGCATTTAAGTGGTCAATGATAGCTCGGAGATTGTCCTGCAGCGTGCTAATTAGCCGGCGGGCGGCGCCGACGTTGGCGCGGTGGTCGCCGACTTCCTCTTTTAGTCGTTCCTTCTCGTCGTCGTCCATCGCCGCCACCTTCAGCAGCGTGATGTCGTCGGCAATGGCGCCAAGACTAAGCAGCAGGTTGGCGTTGCATATATCCTGGAGCAGGGTGATGACGATGTCCCAGCGGCCCTCGATCTCCAGCGATATCGCCATGCTTATACCAGCTTCCGTGCGCGGGGCCTAACAAAGCTTCAACTAATCTAAAGGTCACGTGACCTTCAGTTTAAACAAAAACGATGAAGGCGGCCCCGCGATAACCGATCTCCGAAAACCACGATATAACGCCTTGATGGATATTACCCAGGCGCTCGCTGTCGCCGCCGCCGTGGGAGAAAGCTATGCTCTATTTAAGCTTTTAGCCCATATCAAACGTACCCACCTGGTGTACGGAATCCTGGTGGATTTCCTGATTCTACAGTTGGCTCTGTCGCTAGCTACGGTGGTGTCTGGTCTATTATACCACTTTCTGGAGTCGGTAAACGTTCAATACTTTAAGCGGTACCCCTTGGACGTTGATGGAGGTGCCACCTACTCTATTTTGCTCTTGGTGCAGGCGCTAGAGCTCTACTTAGCGGCATTATTGGCGGTGTGGGTACTCCTAAAATACCGTGCCACTCACCACTGCTGGCAGTATTGGAGTGTCACGTGTATGGCGTGGCTTGCCATATGGGCGACGACCATTGGCTACTTTGTCTATTGTTGGTTGCGAGGCCGTGCCACGATTAATGCTCTTGATATTGCTGAGGCGATCAGGGCAGGAGGCGACATCTCGCGGGCCATCAGATTTATGCCTCAAGTGACCACCAATATCTTTACCTCAGTGTTTAAAGGGTTCCCTCCTCGCTGGTGGCCGCTACAGATGGTTGCCGTGGCGCTCTACGCCGTTGCAGTTGTCACTTATCACCCGTTTGTCGCCAATATGCCGTCGATGGTGTCGGTATACATCGAGTTGATGCTGCTAATCTGTCTTGGCATCCAGCGCATGGTATTCGTCTCCAGCTCCGTCCTCCCATCGTGATGGTAGACGAATACCCCACTCACAAACAAATCAATTCGCACAATGTGGTATCAGTTAATGCGACCGAGACCAGCATGTCATACTACACAACAAGCGACACGAAGGAAGCGTAGTCGTTCAGCTTAGCCTGATGAACATATCAAAGCGGCGCTGTTGACCTATACATGCTAGCGTTGGGCTTTGGAGACAAATTCAAGAGATTGACAACCTCAGCAGATGTCAATTAGTCATTCCATTTTACGTTATTCTTACTATCGAGTAGTTGAATACGACATTTTTAGATATACATAATATTACATCATGATTCTGCGAATCATGTTTTGGTTGATTGGTAGGCAAACGTCCGGTTGCCGTCGAGATACAGGTAGTTGATGGCCCGGGCCACCGCCAGGGTTACCGGACCATACTCCAGCCAATTATGCACTTTGAAGTTGTACTGTTTCAACTCATCCTTTTTGTTATTGAGCTCAAGAATGGGGAACCCCGTCAATTGACACACAGCAAACGGTTGCCCTGCCGTCAGCGTAATTGAATCGGAAAACCATTGTGAGCTTTTATCGATGGTAAAGCTTTGTGTAAGGTATTTGGTTTCGACGACGATAGTAGCTGATTCAGGCACTTTCTCCTCATATTCACTGACATCGGTCGCGGCGTCGCGCAAGAAGTTGTATAGATTGAGCACGAAAAACGCATCCCACTTGTTTTCAGGCACTCCCGAGATGCTTGACAACACTAGCCGAGCAAGATGTGTTCTCAATTTGATGCCAACCTTAACGGTGTTCTCAACAGCCTCCGCTTGAAGCTGCTTAGCCAACACCGTTAATTCGACGTCGTTGACTTTAATCCCCTGCCATTCATCCACACCACAAAATGACTCCGCCACATCATTAACCATACGATAAACCCCCATCAGCTTTTGAAGACCTTCAACTTGAGGGTTCAAAGTATACTGTTCGATTAAACCAGCTTCCAACGGGTTACACACCTCGACTTCAAGGTCAGCGGCATCGGGTTGGAGGAAGTGGGATCCCACAAATGCTTTCACCGTTTCAAGATACTTATGGGCGTATTTGCTGTAGCGTTTAGCATTGTGAGCGGGGAACGGCGGTGGCAACTCATTGAACTGGTTAAACCACATTTGATTCAAACGAGCGATTGTTGTTGATGCCACCTCGTTGTGTTCAATGGTCACCGGTTCTTTTTGGTCCAGTAATCTGATAAAGGCCACGGCCGTCTCAGTCTCCAGGGCAATAGTGTAGATAAGAGCATTTTTAGGTACCACCAGGTATATCAAGGTAAGACAGTCATCGTGGAGAACAAACCCTTGGACAATAAACCGGCCGTCGGCTCTTGGGTCCAAGTACTTACGCATCAATTCACTCTTGTTGGGGGCTTCAATTTTCGACTTTTTCGAGGTAGCTTCTTCCACGTCGTCGGTGTCTTCTGCGGTAGAGTTATTCAACTGGAATTGTTCGAGCGACTTGGTAACGAATTGGGTAAGTTCCTTATGGCCTTCAGAGGCAGTAAAATCTTTAGTAGTGGCATTCCATACACACAGGTCAAACACGCCATTATCAAACGCCACCACCACTTCAATCCCCAAGCCTTTATTAGTGCAGGCAATCCCCGCAATACTCCAGGCAGTGCCAAGAGTATATGAGTAAGTGTTGAAACCGTCTTCAGAGGCTTCAGCGACAACAATGGTCTTTTGAAACGCACTGATGAAAATCAGCGGCGCCACCCATTCCAGAAGATGGTGGAGTCTTATTTGAGGAGCGATGATCTCCTTAAACTCGCCAATGGAGTCAGGTGTCACTTCAGCCACCGCGACTGAGTTATCGTGGTACACCACTGCCAACGTCGAGCGGCCGTTTCGGTACGGCAGCCAATAAAACTTCACTGCCTCTTTCTCCTTATCCGTGAACGATGTGGTGGCCACCGATAATTCACCGTCAGCACCGTAATCAAGCAATGTAAGCTCGTGTGACTCCTGCGCAAGAAGAAGCTGCATTCTTGACCCCAGTAAATTAAACTCAGTCGCCTTCAATTTGAGCGACTCAAACTGGGCGGCTGACCCGTAAAAGATATCCTCGTTCTCGTGGTACTCGAGACCAATGCGGTTCAGCATCCACTCAAACAAGTCGACTTTAACAGTGACGTTATTCACCGTCAACGTGTCTCTACTGAAGATGAGACACTCCCCCGTGGAGAATAACACTGCCAAATCACACTGTTTGGTGGTAGGGTGAGGCGGAGACCATCTGATGGTGACGACACCGATATCGTTAAACGAGGAGAAGGCGAACTTTTCCCGGCCTTCGTTGATGATGAAACTGCGGAACCGTCCCAATGGCAACTGGTCCTCGTCGTAGGACTCGCGGTTGATGATCTGTTTGATCCCCAACATCTGTTTCAAGTCCAAAAGGCGCGTTCTCCCGGAGTAGTCCTTGGAGATCACCAGCGACACAAGCAGCGGGAGCTGGCCGTCGAGGATGTGGACATAATTGCCGGAGTTGATGGCGAGCTGCTGGTTGCCCGACCACTGCAACGGGGCATTGTGCACTCCCAACGGCGAGATGGCCGGGTACACGTTGGAGCCCAAGATCATTGTTGCTGTAAACAGTGCGCTACCACTGGGATACCCGCGTTTCGCACGATGGTCCTGTCACCGAGCGCTACTCACACAGTTAGCACAGTGAGAGAGCACAGTGAGAGCACAGCAAAACAGAGGAACCAGAAAAACCAGAAAAACCACGAGAGCCAAAAGTACCACAAAAGGATGACGAAGTGGACCACAATTGACATGCAAAGTCAATTGCTAGGTTGAAATGGAGGCTTTGTTCAGTATATTGGCTCCAATTGAGTAGACAAGGTAGTGATGTTCACCGGCGAGATTTATTGACTCATTTGACTACCAAAATTGGTTGGGTGGTGACTAGCGGTTTCCAGCAGGTCGAGTCATGGTTAGTACCACTGCGGCTGTACCCTTACCGGCGAGCCCGCTGACAAACGTCTCCTATATCACGCGCTTAAACCACGCCGGAGTGACCCCTCCGAGGGAGAACCCCACTGGACGGCGGCTTCGGGGTTTAATCACGGGAAAAAGAAACCACCAACACTTCGGAGGGGGAATTGCTAACAGTCTAAGCCGAGCCGTTTGTCCATACAATCTAGATTAGCACCGGTGGCTTACGGTTAGTGTGTAATTGCCTCGGTATAGGGGTAGCCAGTTCGCACCCATGCGACTACCACACCCACACCACCAACGCGTATCCGCGGCTCACTAACCCCACCACTTTCCCTCACCCACCCCCGGTCTCGGAACCGGGTCCCGCTATTGTTTGCGGCACGATTGCCATGACTAACCACCCAACCAAAATCAATTGACTCTATAACAATTGCAAGATAGTAGTCCGCGATCAGTGTGCACAGCCTCACAGCGACCAATGGTGTATGCCTCTGCTATCGGCTCCGGAAGCCTAAAATCCTATTTGGCTCGACAGCAGCAGCGCGAACCACTGGTACGACAAGCCAATGACACCCAACATTTGCGCACATGCCGGAACGAGCAAAAGCAATAAACTCAAACCCCGGGTCGACCAGGGGGCTATACTGTCTAGAACTACCGTAAATCGTTTGCAAAAACCTGCCTACCCCAATCTCACCCCTAACCTCTGCCTCATCGCCGCCTCATTTATAATTTTTCACTCTCTCATCGTCCCAAAAATTTGACTCGCAATGTCTGCCGACAGCCCCACCTACGCGACCATACTTCGAAAAAAAAAATTTCAATATTTTGACCCCACAAAAAAAAAAAAAGAGCTCTTATATATCTCAGCCGACGGTCCGTATCACAGGCAAGCACGGAGTCCAAATATTGTGCATTTACCACTCGAATTTACTGGTTAAAACCTCACACCACAACCGGACGTGACACCCTATATGGGCATTTTAACACAGGCTCCCGCCGGGGTGGTTCCCGGCACCATCAAGATCGACTGTCTGGGCGCCTACATCGGCAACGACATCATGCTTGGCCAGCACAACCTGGCGCTGCTGCTGCAACTGCTGCTTCTCTCGCTGTCGCCGAAACAGGGCGTGGTGCTCCAAGGGCTGCCGTCGCCGGTGACGTCTGAGGACGAAGACGAGGCGACGCCGTCGAAAGTGATTTACGATACCACCAAGGCGAACCAGATTGCCGACGACGACCTTACGAAAAATATCACTCTTCCGAGACACACGCTGGAAGTGGTCCACATTGCCGTGGATATTGGTGGCACGCTTACTAAGCTTGTCTACTTCACCAAGGCTCCCGAAAGACCTAACGGCAGCTTGTGTCGTACTGGGGGTAAGCTCCATTTTAAGGATTTCCAAACGGAAGACTTCAAGCTGGAAGTGCTTAAGTTCATGCTTAAACTCGTGAAAAAATCGGTGAAAGATCCCAATCAGCCTCCGATCACTTACGTGATGGCCACCGGTGGTGGGGCTCACAAATTCAATAAGCTTATGACCCAACTGTTTGCCAAACACCGGTTCCCGATGCAAATCATCGCTCTTGACGAAATGGAGTGTTTGATTAAAGGGCTTGATTGGTTAATCACTAAGATCCCCCACGAAGTGTTCACTTACGATTTGAAAGAAGACGACACCGTCACTGTGCCGCAACACAAAGTGGAGAACGAAGACCTGATCTACCCTTATCTTTTGGTCAACATTGGTCTGGGGGTGTCGATGATCAAAGTCACCGGTCCCGGCCCTCAAGGGTTTGAACGTATCGGTGGTTCTTCGCTTGGTGGCGGTACCCTTTGGGGTTTGCTTTCGTTGTTGACTGACGCCGAGGACTACAACGAAATGTTGGAGATGGCTCTGCGCGGGGACAACGCCAACGTTGATTTGCTTGTGGGTGACATTTACGGCACCCTGTACAACAAGATCGGGTTGAAGCTGACCCACATTGCTCTGTCGTTCGCCAAAGTGTTTAAGAAATTGAGATTCTCCCAGCGCAAGTTCACCGCTGCCGAAAAGCTCGAGCAGTTCCGCCAAGAAGATATCGCTCGGCTGTTGCTTTATCTGATTTCCAACAACATCGGTCAGATCGCCTACTTGCAAGCGTGCCGGTTCAATTTAAAGCGGATCTACTTCGGCGGGCTGTACATCTCGGGCCACAAGCAGACCATCCACACCTTGTCATACGCGGTGAACTTCTGGCTGAACGGCGACATGCAGCTGTACTTCCTCCGCCACGAGGGCTACTTGGGCTCGGTGGGGGCGTTCCAGATGGGGCCCACCACCGACGCCGACGCCGACGTCGGCACCCCTCACATTGAATGCGAGCGGGTGCCCAACGATTTAGTTCACAGCATCCTGTAGACTTCAGGACCCATTATTTATTATTTATTTATTTATTCATACACATACAGTTTAATTACAAACCTGGCTGAATAATCTTTTGAAAAATCTACCCCACCACTTGCGCTCGCCCTCCGATGAGCCACAATGATGTAATCTTATCTTAACTTGGAGCCTAATTAATTCGAATGAGAATTCAAATGAACCTTTATCAAATTATCAAATAGGGGTACTAGGTAATTTGATTTGAGCGTCTACTTCATTGCCATTGCTGTACATTTAGCTCAATGACCAGTTTCACTCAAGTGGTGACGTCGTCGCTGGTCTCAGCAATTTAAAATGACGAGCCTGCCTTATTATTTAGCCGTTGGACCCCTCCATTAACCCGTCACTGCTCTGCGTGATTATATCGGCGGAATAATTGCCGTCACCCCTACCTAATACAGTTGCGATCTCGGCCTGTGAAAGGAAGAGAGAGGACACGGAGAGGTCAATTAAAATACTAACTGAACACGGTATACGTAATTGCTGCCCTATAACCACCACAGACACGCTGCAAAACGATGTTACGTTGCGTTCCTCATCGCTGGCAGGGTGATGCCTCATCACCGTTTTAATGCAACATGATGCTACATCGCACGGACCGAGGACGATAGGGGAGGGGAACCCATGGCCGCGGCCCAGCGGCGATACCACCCAAGAAACTTCAGTCGAAACCATTGTAAATCACTACGAAAATTCACCTGAAACCACCGCCTCTGAAACCCCTTCACCATTAGCTTCCCAGCGCTAATTTCACGCCGTCTCGCCCCGTTCTGCGCGGGTGCCGTCCGTGTTGTCGCATGTAACATTTCTCCGCATTGTTACCGATAAAACATATATATACACACACAGCGTCAGCGATGGCGCCGGCCACCCCGATCCCCGACACCATAGTCCCGTTGACGTTTTCACCACCGTTGACGTACCTGCCCATACACTACAACCAGGAGTGGATCGACTCCCCGTCCCCGCTGAAGATGCTGGCCACAACAGTCACCCGCCAACAACACCAAGTCACGACGCCGCTGAAACAACTGCCAGCGTTCACCGCCTATATCACCCCTGAACTGGACCGCACCGACAAAGCCATGAACGTGTTTAATATGCAAGAGCCGCCGTCGTCGCCGGAACCTGAACTCACCCCGCCCAAACAAGTGCTGAATTGGGACGTGTGGTGGAAAATCCTTAATACGATCCTCGGCAAGGATAAACTCGCCAAGTTCGGCCAGTACTTGCTCCGGCTTGTCCTCTACCATGCCCACACCACGCAAACCTACCTTAGCGACGCCACCATGAACATCGACATCATCAACTCCCGGTATAATGACCTGTCGAAAAAGCTCGATTTACTCAAGAACTTTATCAAACACCCGCAGAATTTCATGCTGATTGTGCTTATATTCGTCAGCGACCGCTTCATCCTGCGATTCAGTGGGTTTGTCGGTGGGCTTCTGATGTACCGTCAATTCCTCAGGTTCGGTAAGACTCCCTTCAGAATACGCGACATCATGGAAGAAGTGCAGACCGCGTTCAGAAAACAAGACCTTTCTATGATCTACAACCTTAAGTTTTTGGACGAGGTAATCGCGTTGTACTACGGCATTTTCGACGAGTTGATGTTATTGTTCAAACTCCGTTTCTACACCAGCAAACGCATACAGGGCTATGCCGCCCGCCACGAGCTGTTGGCATGGTACTACATGACGATCTTGGCGTTGTACAACACCTACCACAAACTCTCATCGCTTTCCCAGCGCGAAATTGACTTGAAGGTCCAAATCGAAGTGAAGCGTAAGGCGCGCCAGCTTCTGAAGCGCTTGTTAAGCTCGGGAGGCCACCTGTTGACCGGGATTCGCACTGAGGCGGTGCTGGAAGCCGATCTCACCCAGCTTGACGAAATTCAATTTAACAAGAACAACGCCTGGCTCGACGTCTACAAAAACATTGCCGACCTCGTGTTCAACACCTACACGGTATTCTCGTTACCCCTCCCTTTCCCCACCATCCAGATCTGGATGGGGTTGGCTGCTCTGGGCTTGAGCACGGTGAAGATTTATAGAGAGACCAAGCGCAAGATGCAGCACTGACACTAATGATAATGAACGTAATCATCAAAAAAAAAGTAGACTGGTAATAATCACAAAAACACATCGGTTGTTGCACAATGTATAACAGGTTACAAAAAAGATGCGTCAGCTACAGGACTCGAACCTGTGCGCTCAGAGAGCATTTGATGCCTCGAAGGAATTCGAGTCAAACTCCTTAACCACTCGGACAAACTGACAAACACGAATGTGTTGTATAATATCCGAAGCTCACTAATAAAACACTTGTGTTCTTTTCTAATCAAATCAGTCA